TTTTAGCAATCTATTGCTGGACTCCACTTATCCCCAGACGTGGGGGCCTCCGGCAGGAGAGGTCTGTTCCCGGCCAGTGTCCTGGGCCGGGACGCAGGTGTGGCTCCTCTGGGTTTCCGGCTCCAGGTGCCCCACAGGCTGCAATCACGGGCTTGTTGGGCTGAAGTCCTACCCGAGGGCTCAGCTGGGGACGGCTCGCTTCCAAGCTCGGGTGCGTGCCTGACAGGGTGCGCTCCCCGCTGGGCAGGAACCCCCGTTTCTTGTCGGCCGGTGGCACAGGCGCCCCCCCCGCCGCCCCCCTGCCCCATGGGCAGCTGTCGGCATGGCAGCCGGCTCCCGTCCGCGGGGCCGTGAGAGGCCAGGAAGGCGGGTCCGCGGACAGCGCACGTGGACAGGACGTCCCGCCCCTTTAGCTGTATTCTTAGTGTCGCACCCAAGGCGAGCAGACGGCAGAAGTCAGGAGGACGGGGACCTCTGTGGGGTCTGTCTGCCAGAGCCCGCCCTTTGGTGCCCCGGGATTCCACCTGGCACTTGTGAGACACGGCCACCCCCCCAAATGTCGCATCCCGTTCCAGCATCGACTCGAAGGCTCAAATCTTATCATCAAAGGGAGGTCCAGAGTGTACGCAGCCCCCGGGGTTCATTAAGTGCAGGTCCTGGGGCGCCGCCGCTCTCGGTCTGTGGAGCAGCGAACGAAGCGGGCAGGTTACCGGCCCGGCCGCAGCCCACACGCTCGGCAGGCTGGCCCGGGCCGCCGGCACATGGTCAGGCGGGCGCCGGGAGTGCCCGGCCCTCCCAAGTCCCTGAGGCTTGCGGTCTTGCCCTCGGAGCTTTGGGTGCCGCCCAAGCCACCCTTCCTTTTTCCTGGAACACGCGTGCAGGTGAGTAGTCCATCAGCCTGTTTCCTGCTGGAGGGCGTGAGCGGCTCTGACAGGCGCCCTGCGTTTCCAAGCTCCCTTGTCCCTGGGGGTCTAGGCCGACAGCTTCCGCCACATCCGTTTTCCAAAATGCTCCACGGGCTTTCGGTGGGTTTCATGGGGCCCCGCCCGGGACGGGTCTCGGCCACAGGCCTTTCGCGCCCACCCTGCCCTGGCCCCTGGGGCTGCCGGGCCGCGCCCTTCAGCTCCCGAGAGGCGCCGCTTCAGCGAGGGGCTCTGACCTTTCCATCCTTTGAATGCTTCACTAAAAGGATGTGGTCGCACCCTCTGCTTTTCTCCAAGACACATTTTCCCGACAATAAATCTCTTAATTTTAATAGACATTGAAAGCACCTTATTGCTCCGAATACTACCCAGGAAGCCTCATCTAATACCTGAAGAAAAATACGGAGGGGAAGACGGGACGAGGGGGAGGAGGAAGGAAGGGGAAAAGTGTTTTCACACACACAAGCACATCCCTGATATGTCCAAATGCACGTTCCTCGTGTACTCCTTGTGATTCTCAGGAAACATTATCCTTTTGAAAAATAAAACACAGGGAACATTAAGAGACCAGAGCACAAAGATTCTGACTTTCAGCGCCGAGAATTTTATACCGGGCGGGGCGAAGCACCTTTACGGTCGGTCGTTCGTAGGGAAAACAAAACTGTTGTGTGTGCTCACAGTTGTAAACCTGCGTCTGCCCCGCCCTGTGTTTTATATAGAAATAGCCCGCTGGGCGGTTTTCACGGGGCCCTGGGCCGGCGCAGACTTTCCTAGTGCCCGCAGGCTTTTCTCATGCGGGCCCAGCTCTTTCCGTTTAACGTGCTGCCTTCTGCTTCAAGCTGGTCACTGACCTCAGAGCTCGTTGGGTCGGTAACAGGAGTCACCCAATTATCAGGGAATTGGTTTCCTTGCTTTTTTAAGATCTTATTATCTCTACAATATTATAAAGCGTGTACTATGTTTTACATAAGTTAACACATTTAATGCTATAAATACTATACGGAATTCTCCACTTTTTAAAAAATAATTTTTTAAAGATTTATTTTTACAGAGAGGGGAAGGGAGGGAGAAAGAGAGGGAGAGGAACATCAATGTGTGGTTGCCCCTCACGCGCCCCCTACTGGGGACCTGGCCTGCACCCCAGGCAGGTGCCCTGACTGGGAATCGAACCGGCGAGCCTTTGGTTCACAGGCCAGCATGCAATCCGCTGAGCCACACCAGCCAGGGCCCAGTGCTCCGGTTTCTAGGATAGGCATCTATGGCTTGATTCCTCAGCCTGGTCGTGTTAGCGGCATGTTAAGTAATAAAAGCCTACCTTTAGTTCCCCTTGCTAACCTACCTATTGCGTAGGGGGCTGCAAGAGACAAGCCCTGCTCATTACTTAATAACGTTGCTCCATCACCCACGTTGCCAAGTTGGAAGGTGTCACAGCCTCGTGGGGGTGTGCGGGTGGGGCTCGCGGCCAGCCGCCCCTCTGTCTGGCGGCGATGCCAATCTCCCTACAGTCCGTGTCTGGGGTTCAACGGAAACACCGACCCTTCTGGTCAACCGGAGGAGTCACTGAACCCACAGGGAACCGGTGAGCTCCACGCAGCGGGGAGCAGCTTTGCGGCTTAGGGTCGCATCTGACGCAGAAGCTGCCCAACAGGCCGCACAGCAGACACGAGAGAATCTTTGACGTTAATTAGAGCAGGATTAAGTTTTTCCCAAGTACTCAATGAACTCATGAAAAACCATTTTTTTCCTCATTTCTATGCAATTGCAGAGTGGACACTGTGTGCATTTTCCACTCTAATTTACACACACACTGGTTGAAAGGAATAAATAATGAAATACATTTATTTTGCATCTACTAAGCTTATCCATTAAAATAGATTTATCTGCACCATTTCCCTTCAATTACAATCGTGCCCTAGTTTTACAGCAATTTTCTGCGTTTTGTGAAATGACGTTTCCAGCTTATCCGACATTCGGGCCGCAGCATCCCACTGGGTCGGAAGCATGCGCTCAGCCAGGCCGCCTCCCCAGGCGTCGGAGGTCAGCATCACCTGCACCCCGGCTCCGGGGACACAGAGGTCACCCAGCCCTGTGGCGGCCGCAGAGGGGGCGTCGCGTGGGCCGCCGCTTGCTCAAAGACTCCTTTGTGAAACGGGTTTCTGACCACGCGGCTTCCTCAAATGGAGAGGAAATCTGTGTGCCTCACAGCCAAGACCTAATGCAATCCTGAGAGCTTTGACCAACTTGGAACTGGCTGAATGACGTTGCTGAGGACTCTGAGAGGTTTACTTCTAAACACAACCTCGCAGATGTGCAAAGCACGTACTAAAAACCCATGTTTCTAAGGCTCGCTTACTGTTTGGCCATCGCCTCTCCAGCCCCATTTCCACATGCAGTGGCACATTTTCTGAGGAACGGACCCGGGGCGTTAGTTCCTACCCCTTGCCTCTCTGCCGCTTCCTAACCTACTGGCACACGCACACGTGCACACAAAACAAAAAGCCCACTGTTTATTCAACAATTGTATGTTCCATACTTTGAAAATAGTTTCATTTAAAAAAGTCGGATCAAATGACAAATAGAGGGCATTTTTGTTGCAGTCCAAACAACGTTGTGCATGGCATGTCGGCCGTGGAAACCACCCCCCGTGAGTGACCGCTGGCTCCCCGGCCTGCAGCAGACGCACCCCCAGAGCTCCCAGCCCGCCTCCCCGACCCCCGCAGCCCTGTGCGGCCTGCGCACTGCCTGCCTCTTCGCAGAGCCGGCACCTGGGGCTCTCTCCCTGCTGGTGATGTTTGTAACATGCACTCCATTTTTAAAAACGGTTTCATAAAGCCCCGTGAACAGATCCAACAATTCTCCACGGGTGGACATCCAGGTTCTGTGCTTTTTCACGCATTCGATGTTCCCGTGAACTCACCTGCGTATGCTGACACCCAGCAGGGGAATGGTTTTGGGTAGATGTGACCAAGATGCCTTCTGGAAAGGGCGGGTTTACCACGCTCCCCGCACAGGTGCGGCAACAGCCTCCTCTCCAGGTCTTTGCTGATGCTGTAAACTACCAGTATTATCCCACCTTTCCGAGCGTTTCAATCATTTCTAGTGTTTAATTTTACATTTGGGAGCTTTTGGCTCCACGTACTGTATGAAAGTTAGCGACCGCTAGGGAAGGCAGTGACAGGTCACAAAGGCATTCGCCCTCTTTTTGTTCCCGATAAACAAAAGGTAAACAAGCTCCCGTCCTGCCCCGCACGCCCTCAGCAGGCGGCCGGCTACATTAGCCCACGCACACGATGGTGCCCGGGGCGGCCCTGGGACAGGGCTGTCGGTGTTTGTTAACGCGGGAAATGGCGACAACAGACTTTGAGGAGAACGATCTGGCCGGCAGAGAGGACGAGGAGGACAACCTGTCCTGGACACAAAAGCTGGGAGGCGTGGCTCTCCGGTGTTTATACTGCGTTCCCAAAGGGGTGGGGCAACAGGGGTTTTTATTTCCTCCCTTTAGTTCCTCTCTACTGTCTGATACTTCCAATGGACGTGTACTGTTTATAGGGACCTGCAAACATTTACTTCCGAAGGGCACGGATGTCCCAGGCTGCCGAGCACTGCCCCACACACGGTTACGCCTCGCCCGCCCCCACACATTCTCCATCTTTCAATTCCACAGTTCATCTCTGCTATTAGATTACCCTTTCCTCTTTCCGAACACACTTTTATTAGTTACTGCTGGTGAGAGGAGAAAACACTACGAGGTTACAAACCAAAGTAAAAACTGGCACTCTCACTCCAGCGTTTGGTGAGAGCTCAAACACTAACAGTGAGCAATGCGCTGTCTCAAATATGAACCACGACATGGCCAATGAAAGGTGTATACAAATCATACATCCTCATATACAAGGAAGATGTCACGTTTCAGTTTGAGCTCACTGTTCATCCCAATACCGATCTTGAAAAAGACCTGTTAGAAACAAAAGACCGAGTTTGGTACAAATGGTCATACACATCAGGTAATAACTGGAAGACGCACCAAGCTTCCATCGACCGAGGCTGCCAATCAGCTGCGAAGCCAATCTGTTGTGTTCCACGTTACTGGCGGCATCAGGTTCAGAATACGCACTGCAAGCACCAAGAATGGAGCCCGTGTCCTGTCCCGAACGGGGGAGACTGCACCACAAAGATGCCCTCCTTCGAGCCACAGCATCCCATTTACCTTCCGCAGCCAAAAGTTCGGTCCCAGTTCTCGTAAAGCTCCAGGTCTTTGGGGGACACACTAGGCCGCACAGTCCGAAAAGCGTTTTCAAAATCCACATAAGCTATGGGGGGAACCTGGTCCGCCGCTATCGTGGCGATGTCCACAGTCTGCAAGCTGCGAATGGGGCCCAGGGACGCCTCTCGGCACAGCTGCGTCACATCGGCGCCCGAGAACCCTTCTGAGCGCTGCACCACCAGCTCCAGCTCGTCCTTGCTGAGGCGGCACTGCTCCCTGGACATCAGATTGACCACTATCTGTCGCCGGGCGGAGGCGTCTGGGAGGGGGATATAGAGCCTTTTCACCAACCGCCTGCGGGCAGCCTCATCGATTTCCTGAGGCCGATTGGTTGCTCCCACGACTAGAATGCGATCTTCAGAAGATGTGGTTGCCCCGTCTAACTGAACCAGAAACTCGGTTTTTATCCTCCTAGAAGACTCATGCTCACCATCTCCCCGCTGGGATAACAGGGAATCGATTTCGTCGATGAATATCACGGCTGGCTGCTGACACCTGGCAACAGCAAACAGGGCACGGACCATTTTCTCCCCCTCGCCCACCCACTTGGAGGTCAAGGAGGAGGCAGAGATACTGAAGAAGGTCGCCCCCGACTGACTGGCGATGCACTTGCCGATCAGGGTCTTCCCAGTCCCGGGAGGACCGAAGAGCAGGATTCCTTTAGGCGGCCCTCGCAGCCCGGTGAAGATGTCTGGCCTCATCATGGGCCAGACGACGATCTCCTTTATTGTGGCTTTGGCGAACTCTACCCCGGCGACATCTTCCCAGTGCACCGGGGGCCCGTGGTCCACAATCTCGCTCATAATCAGTTCGATCATCTTTGGCTCCAGGCTCTTGAGGCGCTCATCGGCCGGGCGTGCTGCCTCTGTGGGCCCCGCACCATCGGGCCTGTACTGCAGGCCCCCACTCAGGTCCCCCCCGTCCGGCTTAGCTACAGGAGGGACGAACTTCCCGAAAATCCCTCGGGACCTGCTGGCGCCCAGAGACTTCTTCACACCGCTGTAGGAGGACCCCGACACGCGCGGGGGCTGGTGGAGCTTTTTCTGCTGCTCCGCCCACAGTTGCTCCTTGGCTGTTTTGAAGGCCGGCAGGCTGCTCTCCTCTCTTCGGCCGTTATCTTCCGTTTTGCTAAAAGCCGTGTTCAGGGTTGGGGCCGCAGGGGCATTGGCAGGGCCGGAACCGTAAAAAGCAATCCCGTCCCGGGGGTTTTCACCGCCAGAAGGAAAACGGGACTGACTGGAGAGGAACATACTCAGTCCTGTGCTGGCTTTTGGAGAGCTGTTATTTTCCTTTCTCACACTTCCAAATAATGGTGTGGCATGAAATTTGGTGGTAGCTAAGTCACCAAAAGGTGTTGAGAACGTGGGACACGTCTTTGGGGTGTTAGGCACCGCAGGAGGCTGGGCATTCTGAGGGGCCAACGCACTGCCCTCTGGGACGTCTCGGGTCCTGTCTGTACCACGAGCTAGGTCAGCCGATGGGTCACTCTCCCCAGAGCCATGACAAACACTGAATTCCGAAGGGCCGAAGCTCACGGCCTCTTTGTGGATTGCCACCGCAGCGTCAGCAGGGGCCAGCAGGGAGTCTCGGAACTTGGCGCCAGCCCTCATCATCTCCTGCACGCTGCTCATTTGGAAAACGTTCGTGACTGACAACCCGGACTGCCACTTGTCACTGTTGGTTTGCTGAAATCTTGCTAAAGTTAAAATGCTTTCTGCATAGTTATTCAAACCAGTTCCAACATTGTCTGAATCAACGATTGCAGAGTATTTCTCTGCGTACTTTTTGAACAGCCTAGAAGCACAGGCCTGGGAGATCTCGGCATTGGCCTGCGCATACTGAATGCGCAGTATCTGCGCCCGGTAGGCGTCCGCCTTCTCACCGGCTGTGCACGTGCCAGATGTAACTGCAAAGTAGTTCTTCTGCCATTCACTCAGGTGCACAGACCGAGCGTCGGAGGCCTGCATTTTAGAGGCTCTACAACAAAGACAAAAATGAAAAAGTTGTAAGAAGAGGAATACAGACTTTTAAATCTCTGCTCATCTGAAAGAAGGCATACTGCATCTCTCATTTATGAGGTCAATTTATAAAGACAGACCACTCCAAAGGGAATCCTAGTTTTTCATAAATTTCAAGCATTCAAGGTACAAAAGATTAAAGACCTGACTGAATAATGCTTCACTATAGGTTGAACTGTTTCAGTTATTTAATAGTTTTCCCTGCGAAGAGGGAAAGCACTCATAAGGAAAGGATTTAAAATTAATCAGCAAAAGAAAGGCGACACCGAAGGAGCACGGAACTGCAGACAAACCAAGCACAACAAACCAGCCTGGGGTGGAAATCTGGCCTCCAAGGAAAGCTTGACGGGCGATCTCACACAAGCCTCTTCCTGTTGCCACCGAGCTTTCAGTTTTATCTGTGAAGTGAGAGAAATCATTGAGAGAACCGAGTCAAGTAACAGACATAAACACTCTCTGAACAGCACCAACAGCCCCAAAGGAACGCCTGGGGCCGGGCCGCACCCCTGCGCAGCATCAGCCCAGCGGGCCGCACACGGCAAACCGCGAGAATGCAGTCATCGCTCTGTGTCGTTAAGGACTCTCCAGGAACGAGCACATGCAACAGGAGCCCGGGAGCTCTCCCCGCCTCCCAGGGTCTCATGAAGTATTAAAAGGCAAAACTGCCACAATATAGGAATTATGAGAACAAGCGACACAATCTGCTAGGACAGTGCTTATATTTTAGATTTCTTCTCTCCAGTTACATTCATGACCCTCCTAACATGAAGTTAAGAGTTATTTTAACACAATTATAGATGAAGATAGCACGTTGCTGGAGGTGTGGAATTTACCTGCTGACCCACCAGGAAGATTTGTAAGAAAACTTCACGTTTCCCCACAGTATTGCAATATAGGTAAAACCAAGAACTCGTGCATTTTAAAGTGTGCCTTCCGAATTACCTGTAAATATAGCTTCATAACCGTGTTTTATAGTTTTTTAAAATCTCCCATAATACCCTACACAGCATCTGTCACATTGTAGGCGGGTGTTCATAAATCCTTGTAAAGAAAATAAAATGAAGACTAGGGGAGATTCTAATTTGCTTAAAGTTATAAAGATACATAGAATCAAAACTAGAACGGACGTCTGCTGGCCATCCCTCTTCCTGCTACACCGTATTTTAATTTCCTTTGTGCAACACTGGAAATGGAAACTGAAGGAACACCGTATGCCACACCTGCCTCCCACGGCCCCGTCTTTGTCCACTACAGTCCTGGGGCTCTGGCAGCTGAGCTCTCCTCGCTGTCCCTGCCCACCGGCCTGGGTTCTACCGAATTCACCTCCCAAGTCTTACTGCTTCCTCTGCACTCAGCCACTTGCCCAACAGCTGTAGCCACGAATGACAAACACCTGTTCTAGCAAACACCTGATGGATGACACAGCCCTGCCCCGATACCTTTCCCAAGTCCCTTTCATCTTTATGGCCTTTCTAGATCTCCACCAGCACTGACCTATGAGCTGCGTGTCCCTCTTTTTTTATTTGGATAACTGCCCGCTTATGGCAGGAACGTGCTGTTTGTCCACCCGGACAGACGGCTTCTGCAGGTGGGAACCGTCTCCAGTACTCTCAGTCTCCCGGCCGCGGAGCCGGCGCCGACCCGGACCAGAGCGACCACAGCGCGGCCGGAGCCCCGCCCCCCGCCCCGCGGACGCCGCTGCCACCTCCCCGACTTCGGTCTCGGGGGCGCAGCAGCTTCGCTGGGCCCCCGGATTGCGCGCAGGGCGCAGAAAGCCGGCCCACCGCGCGCTCCATGTATCAAACGCGGTCACCTCCGCGACAGCGCCCCGCGGGCGCCGCCTCTCGTCTCACCAGCTGCGTCGGCGGGCTCGGGTCCCCGGCCGGGCTGGGGTCGGTCTGCCCAAGGCTCTGCCGTCGCAAACACCCGGCGCCGAGGCCCGAGACGTCTCCGCCGTGGGGGGGGGGACTGCTTCCCCGCCCCCTCCCCGAAAAGGCGAGTCTCCTGGACCTACAGGTATGGAGGGCGCGCCCACTGCGAGCAGCGCTCCAGGGCCCTGGCCGTGCCGCAGCCGCCCGGGAGGCCCCTCGCCCCGCCGGCCGCCCCGGGAGGGGCTGCGGGGACCGAGCTGGCCCCTCCGCGCCTGTCGCTTCCGTCTGGCCCGGCTCCCGCACGCCTGCCGGGTCCCTGCCAACCTGCGGCTTCCGAAAAGCGCGCGGACCGATATGCGCCTGCGCGCCGCGGCCGCGCGCCGCCCGTGCTGTGCGTGCGTCTGTGCGTACCGGGCGCGCTCCTCGGGGGCGGGGCCGCGCGACGGGGGCGGGGCCGCGCGGCAGAGCGGCGGAGCGCGGGCCTGGGGTCTGGTCTCTGGGGTGGCAGGAGGGTATCTTTCCTTGCGAGACGCGCCAGCTGCGCAGCAGGCGGGTGCCCCCAGCGGGGCGAGCTCTGCGTCCCACTGCGAGTGCGCTTCATGCGTCAAGTCCTCCGAAATAAAGACGCGCGGGCCCGAGGTAACTGCTTCCAGAGAGTTCCCCTAGGAGGCGCTCGTCCGGACACACCGGCCCATCGTCCCTGCAAGTGGTCCCCGCGGCTCCGGGGGCCTGGGGTAACCGCTCCTCACCGTGGACGGTGGGTAGAGTGTGAAGCCCACGTGCGTTTTTAAGAAGACAGGAGTTGGAATCCCGGCTGAGTCCTGCAGCTCAGATCCGCCCCTGGGCCAGCACGCTGAGTCCCGTCCCCGCGCCGGGGCTCCTTAGGGACCCTTCCCTGGGAGACTGAGAAACGCTTCATCGCCGCCTTGGACTGTGGCTTCAGAGAACCACGTTGACGTTAGTTTACTGAATTGCGTTTTCAGACCACGAAACAGAATAGCCACTACCGACCACCTGTTCGTTAATTAATGTCACTGTGTCACATAAGTCTGGAGGTTGGTCGTTCTGGGTCTGATGGCACGACCTAGGGATGTCACAAAGGGCCATCTCTCTTGGAAAAAGGAAGAGTCCACTCCCAAGAAGCATGAGGAGCCTTTTCCTCCCTTTCTGGGTTCAGGGGGTCCCTTGGTTGTCCCTTCCTGAGAGAGGAGCCTGGAGGTGAGAGGTGGAGAAAGCGATGGTTGAGTAGCAACTAACACGTATGCCATCTAAACGACTGAAAGTAACCCATCCTGTGGGCGGCATTTCTGCTTTTATTGCTCCTTAAACTTGCTCTGTGTGTGTGTGTGTGTGTGTGTGTGTGTGTGTGTGTGTGTGTAGAAGCTGGAGTCATCTCCAGGTAAAAATGGTGTGTTAGGGAAGCATCTAGAACCGTGCCTGATGTGTACAACATGCTCAGGAAACAATGTTGGACAAAGAAGTGCTGTTTAAAAACATCCAGGATGCCATGTCTTTGGCCATATTGTAACAATCAGTTGGGTACAATGTAAAACAGGACGCTCACCAGACACAACTGCCATTGCACTTCAGATGGTTTATTAAGCACTGAGCCACAGGACAGAGCAAGTGAAAGGCCACAGGTGTATTCTCCTGTCCCATCCCCGTAGACTGCCCTGGGGAACATTCCATAGCCTTTCCCACCAATGACGGTATCAGGAACGCGAAGCACTGATTTTCTTAACCAACAAAAAGCACAGCCAAATAATGAATAAAGCCAATATACACTGGAATTAACTCTTCATATAGCAGGTCAAATTTCTTCATTGATGAGAGACGAGAGACACAGTCAGAAGCTTCTAGGTAGCTTTGGAGAAGGTCGTGAGAAGCTGCGCAGAGGCTTCTCAGCGGAGCTGGGATGGCGTTTATTCTCTTATTCCATTTTCGAGAGACACTTCTTTTCACCTTTGGATCTCTACAGGAGGAAAAAAATAACAGGAACATAAGGCTACATTCAAAAAAATGCAAGGATCAGGTTTTCGTACACTTCCCATGACATGGGGCTTGATCTGATAGCCTCAGCCTTGCACAAGGAAACCCAAGGCGGCGACACTTTCATCTCTCTGGTTAATGTGGCCATAGCAACGTGGGCACAGACTGATTTACTGTTATGTGCAGCATTGAAAAACAAATCCTATTTTTCCCTCAGTTGATTTGAGAGCCAGTAGAGCGAGTCCACCGTAGCTGGGGCTTCTCTCAGAAACGAGGCTTTGCTCCTGCTCATTTTTCAGGGCTACAGTCTCTCTCCATGTTGTTGTGGGGAAGGGATCCTGACGTGACCCATCCGCCTGGTGTACGTGCCAACACAGGGCTGCGGGAACGTGCATCAGGGGTGTTTGCCTGACACGGCTGTTTTGTAGGTACTCAGAGCAGTTACCCACTCCCACCCTGCCTCCCCCCAACACACACCTTATCTTAGAGCAATGGGGTAATGGAAGCCAGAGCCTCTGCCCAGCGCCTTCCAGAGGCGCTCCAGTTGTGACGAACTTTGGAGCTGCTCTGGGCAGGCGGGCCCCTCTTACAGGCAGATTAAGTCCCACCCAGCTTACAGGCAGAGCACCTGGGCAGGCGGGCCCCTCCGCTTACAAGCAGTGCACCTTGAAAAAAAGTCTGGTGCCAGGAAAAAGACCGGGTAGCTCAGGACTAGCCTGGACCACAGACAGGGGCCTTCGACCTCATGCGTCAGGAGCCGTGCGTAGGCCTCTCATATAAATAAAACTCAACTTTTAACTTTTTGTCTTTTGAGCACTATCATATTTCAGGTATTCACAGTTAAGAGCAAAGAAGGTAAAGTTCAATGCCACCCGCGAAGTTGCACCTTGCACACTTGGGTGCTACACCCCCACAGGTACGATAAGTGGGCAACGGGGAGATGAGAAGAGAGACAACGAGAAGCAGGAGCTAAGGAGACGGTCGCAGAAGCGCGTCTACTACCTACCTCCCCCAAAATGGGGTGGAAAGATTACAAAGACAGAAACAAAGAAGGTAGACAAACTCCAACAGACTGACAGTCTTCAAATCATCTGATGAAAAGGCTCTTACTATTGCCGTGGCTCCCACGGATCCTTCCTGTGGCCAGCACTGCATGTGTGTGAACATTTTCCTGCACATTAGCCGCGCGCTGTCTGGGGTGTCTTTCACTGGCTCAGGGTAAACCCCGCACAACAGAAAGAAACCCAGGAGCCAAAGCATTTCCTTCCTCTGAGCCATTAACATTTCGGTTCTCCTGGCAGTAAATCATCAGTCACGTCAAGTTCCCTTTGTAATGTTTTCATTAATTTTCATTCACCCACAGTTTGCCAGTTTAATGTGTGAAGCTTGTTATGATACTAAGTTGCCTCCATGAACAGGGAGAAAGAGGGGAGAACATTCTAGAAATACACCATTGATAGTTTCACCTAAGATACAAAGTATACGCCTATCTAAGTCTGTGAAGCATCTGGCAGGGCCAGTTCCTCCCACCTCTCCCCCTCCCCCATCGGGGGCACGTCCCGGGGCAAGAGGGATGAGGCTCCCCTGCAGCGCTCGCTCACCTGCCGCGCTGACCCTATTCGCGCCAGGTCTCCAGCAGCGAGGTCGCCAGCGCCTGGATGTGCCCCCAGGCGAACCGCACGTGCGCAGACTCCACCGTGCGGGAGCAGATGGCAAAACGCAGCACAAACTTGTCCCTCAGGAGGCAGGGCACCAGGTGGATCTTCCCGGTGCTGTTTATTCTGTCCAGGAGAACTTCGTTCAGCTTGTTGGAACCCTGCGGGGACCAAGGGACAGGGGCCCCATCTCAGAGAAAGAACAGATCCAACCAAGTAATAGTGCCGTGTCCCTAAAAGACTGCAGCCTGTCGCTGCATGACAGTTTGTTCATGTTTAATGTGCTGTCAAAAAAAAGATGACCTTCCACAGTCCGGGGCTTGTAAGAAGAAGCGGAGGCTCCTAGGTGTGTTCCCTGTACACTAAGGAGCCCACACCGCAGAACCGGATGTCCCGCATCCCCAGGGAAAGCGTCTGTCCAAACGGAGAGAGGAAAGTCTCAATGACTAGAAAATGGAGCAATTATTGTCAACTTCTTGCTAGAATCGGGGAAGTTGCCCAGGAACTAACCGGGGGCCCGGGGCAGCGCTGCCGGACTCCCCTCCAGTAGGGAGCAGCCGCTGGTCGGGGCAGAGAGGCCCGAGCCCAGCCTCCTGCCGGCGGCACCAGGCAGCACCAGGCGGCACCAGGCGTCCGGCTTGCACCGCAGGGGCCACAGGGGGCCGGCCCGGCCCGGCCCAGGCGCTGCGCCCTCTGCCGGCAGCCTGGTTACCTCTCCCACCCCGGCCCCGCCTGCTGTTTCCCAGCAGCACCTCCACGACCCCCTCAAGCCAGACAGTCTGCCAGAAGGGGCTGGGAGCAGGCCCTACGTCCTGGGTCTGGCGGCCCGCGCAGGGGTGGACTGCTTGTGTCCTTGCTCTGTGTGGACAGAGGGGACGCCGGAAGGGCAGTGGGAGGAGGAGGGCCCAGATCTGCCCGGGGGGCGAACACCTGCAGGACCCGGGCCTGGGACCCGGGCGGGGCTGAGCCCCTGGGCGGCCCCTGCTGGGGCCCACACGGATGGCGCGGGGGCAGAGGCCATCCCGAAACGCGGATGGGGAGAGAGCGTGATGCGAGAAGGGAGGACGTTTTACTAGAAAGACTTAGCGAAAGAGCAAACCTCTGAAAATTGTATCCTGCAGGCTCTTTAGGCGAGTTACCTAGGGCAAATGCGCTGGACGTTTCCAACTGGATTGGACAAGATATGTTTTCAATTACGTAATGTTTTTAAATCAAATAATGTTTTTAAATTAGAACGTGCCAAAGGGAGAAGCAGCCCGAGGTGGAGCAGCAGCAACAGACACAGAGGGAGGGACCGGCGGCTGCGTGGAGGGCAGGGGAGGGGCCGCGGGCAGAGGACCGCCGCAGCTCCGCACGCGCAGCCGCCCCCCGCCCGCCGCTGAGCACAGGGAAGGCCGCCCGTGCGCCGCAGCAGTCGGGGGGTGGCCCCGAGGTGGGCCTTTGCCACCAAGCCCCAGTGACGCTGATGCTGGCCCAGGGCGGACACCAAGGGAGCTGGGGACAGGCGAGTCCTCGGTGCATGCCCGTGTCCAAGCTGCCTGGACGGCGGGAATGGTGAGCACCCCAGGACCAAGGGCCCCCGCGAGCAGGAGGGGTCCAAGTGTGACCCTGGAGGAGCGGGCAGCTCCTGAGGCGGCTGCGGAGGGCGCAGTGGGCAGCTGGGGGCGCCGGGGCTGGGGCGGGCCAAGGGCGGACTGGAAACCAGGGCTCGGTTGGGTGGTTTGGGGAGGTAGGGCGAGTGTGTGAGCAGAGAAGAAAGGAACGATGCTTGTCCCTCTGCCCCGCTGAAAGGACAGGAAGACCGAAAGGGACATGAGCATACCTTCAGCCGGAAGCAGACGAGCCCCAGCGTGACCTCCGCACAGACTTCAAAGCGCGGATCCTGGTTCACCCAAGACTCGAACTCCCGCGCCAGCCGCACGTGCTGGAAGGGAAGGGAGTCCGCCTGAGCGCCCCGCCTCTCAGGCCGGCCCCGCCCCCCAGGAAGCCGGGTGAGGCTGCCGCCCGCGGCTCGGTGGCAGCTTTCAGCCGCTCCCTTCCAGTGATCACGGCCGGCTCACCCGCTGTTCCCGCATGGGCTGAGGACAAGCTCGTGCCCCCGTGGGAAAAGCGTGGTGTCTTCAGGAAAATGCCACCAAAGCCATCGTTTGTGATTTCAGAGGAAACACTGTGAAGAGGCGTTGGAACACAACCGGCGGCCCCCAGGCGGAGGAGGAAACCGAGGCTGGCCTGCCGCAGCTGCCCCGTGCCGCAGCTCCGCCCGCCGCGGCCAAGTGCTGTGCGACAGTGCTCCCCGCCGCCGATCCGTGACAATCACGTCGGTCCCCTCGCGTGCAAACACTGCCTCCCTCTCATTGAACTGCATCGCCTGATTGGACGTCCCGGTGTTTGTGGAGCTCTTGATGGCACTTGATGTGGGGACACCGTGGGAGCGTGTCTTGCTTATTCTAAACCCAGGCGCCCAGCCAGGCACCTGCCCTGGGAGGGGCCCAGGGAGCAGCCAAGCTCAAGTCCTTCTTCCCAGTGAGGTTGGAGCCGAAGGGGCTCCCAGTCACGTGAGAAAGCTGGTGCCACCAGAGGGCGCCAACGCCCTGGGCCTGCAGGGACTCCCCACAGCTGGGCTCTGGACCACGCATCTGCCAGGGACAGCCAGGCTCTCTCCCCTCCAGCCGGGCGTTAGGACCCTCTGGGGGGGGCGGGGGGCTCTGAGCATCTTCCACATGAGGCAGCGTAATCACACCCAGACACCCCTGAACGTCCAGCTGGAACCATTATGGGAACACAGCTCACTCTTTTGCATGTTCTGTCCCCAAGAAGCGGAATGCTTGTCATCCTTGAGAACGTGTTCTCCAATGGGAGGGGCCTCTCTCTCACCCGTACACCCACACGCTCCTTGCGAGGCAGACGGGGGCCAGGGCGTGACATGGGGCGGGCTCCGCGTGGCGGACGCCGGGCCCCGGCCCGTGGCAGGGGAGGGGCCTGGGACACCCTGTGCAGCCCGGCAGTGCTGAGCTGAGCGTCGCACCAGGGCTCCGAGGAGCGGCCGTGTCGCCGCACTAGCGCCGGAAGCTGCAGGGGAGCCCCGCTTCTGTGCAGGCCGAGGCCCTGGGTCCTCGCGGTCGGGGACACGGCCGAGGACAGGTGTCAGGATGGGAAGGCCAGCTCCGTGGCGGGGGGCGGGGGGGTTGCTTGGGCACGTCCTAGCATATGCTGAGGCCTCGGTTTCCTCAGTTGTTTAAAAACAGAAGCAGGCGGTGCGGCCGGGAGGAGACGGGCGTTGGTCACCTTTGAGGGTTCCTTGCGGCTGAGACCCCGCCCGAGAGGCCCGGGTCCTGCACATCTGAGAACCACCCAGCTGGGACATGCCACCCCTGCCCCACCTCTACCTTCTCCTTTCCAGAATGTTCTTGGAGCAGAACACCGTGTGCTCACCGCTGCCCTCTTTGACAGGACCCCGCTGTCGGCCACACGTGTCTTAGTTCCCTTTGAGCCTCCCCGAGCTGATGGCCCGTGGGCCCCAGGGAAACGTCTTAAAAGACCCCTCATCATGCACGGACCGCCTCACAAACACCCTGATGTCACGCGTGTGCCGGTCCTGACACCGCAGCGCACTCCCGAGGCCCCGCCTCCCTGAGACCCCCGACAGACAGCGAGGAGAGGTCACCTTGCGGATGTAGGCCTGCAGCCCCGTGACTCCGTACATCCGGAAGACGAACCACATCTTCAAGGAGCGGAACCTGCGGCCCAGCGGCAGCTGCCAGTGCTGCACAGAACATAGTTGGTCTCAGGGGCCCCCGGGAACCGCGGTAGGGACAGCTCCCTCTCACCTGCAGCTCCGCCCAGGTCCCTTGGAGGCAGGCTGTCCACCCCCCTCTCTGGGAGGGCCGAGCCCTCAGAGGAGGGAGCAGGGCTCACAGCCAGAGGCAGGTGAGGGCAGACCGGACCAGTGGCTTGGGAGGGGCCGCGGCTACTGCACACTCACGCATGGGAAAGGCGGGGCTCGCAGGCCATTTGCCAGAACTCACTCTCGAGACAGAAGCCGTAAAGGAGCCCAGAGGCACCTATGAGCCCGTGGGGAAGGGAAGCTGTCGCTGTACTCTAGACAAGAGGCCACAGAGCGGCCAGCGATGTGGCAGGGCGGCAGGGGCGGGAGGCAGGGGGCAGGCAGGGGACACCGTGCCTGCGGCGGGGGGCGGGGGGGCGTAGAGGCTGGAAGGAATGAGGTCCAGGCGTGGGCGAGACTGGAGCCCCAGGCCCTGGCACACCCAGGGCCCCACAGACAGGCTCCCACGCCCGGACTCTGTGTTGGCACAGCCCCGGGCTCCGTGAGACCCATCTTCCACTTACCCTGTAGTCGGTGATCAGCCCTGGAAAAGGGGGCGGGAAAGAGGAAAGAAAACCGTCAGACATGTGGGTCAATCACACGCCCGATCCTTCGCGTGTTCACGTCAGCCCGTCGCCCCTCGGCCCAGACAGAAGGCCCACGAGCGTGTTCTTTGCGGCGCGTCCCCAGGTCCCAGTGCACACGGAAACGCAGGCCGCGTGGGCGCCCTTCCACACCGGCGTCTGCCGCGACAGGAGCATGAAACCCCGCGCTTCCCTTGGCACCCAGGGCGACACTGGCGTGGGGGTCAGGCCAGGCCTCGCCACTCTCTCACGCATGCACGGGAAGGTGGGTTTGCGAGACAGAGTGGTCGGAACGCAGACAAGGGATCGTCCCTGCTGGGCGTTCAGCTCCATATCCTCGGGTCTCACTCAGTTCAGGGCCTGGCATGGGGCAGGCCCCACGGGGGTCCCCTGGGTTGGTCTCACTGCCCTGGACGCAACAGCCTCTCCGTGGTCATCGGAAAGGCCAGTGGTGTAGTACATGCCAAGACCGGGTGGGGAAAAGATGCCCGACCAAGACTCTCACAGACGAGACTTCCTACATGGAACTCCTGGGCGAGGAACAGCGGGCAATTTGAAGCTGGGCAGCTGCCCTGCGTGGACCCCGGACCCTTGCCTGCCATCTGGGCCAGGCGCGCCGGGGCCCTTCCCTGCCCCCCACCCCCGGGGGAGAGCAGGTCAGCCGGGACGCCCCGTCCACCTGACGCGACCCTCCACTGCCCTGCTCTCGGTCCGCTGGGCATCTGCACGGTACGGGCCAGAAAACCGTGTGTCACGGCTGTCACGGCTCCCTGCCTGTCCCCCCGCTGGGGCAGACCAGGCGTGTCCTCCGCTGGGCTCTAAAATGGCGGAGACGGGGACCCACAGGGCCGGTTTGTGAGGGTCGGCCTCCTCGGTTCACAAGGGACCCTGAGATGAAGCCATACAGCTGTGCAGCCCCCACCAGCGCGGTCAGCCGGGCCACCAGCAGGGCGGCGCCGCCAGACACACGTCTGGCGAGCAGGGAAGCAAAACAAGCCACCCAGAGCGCACTGGCGGAAGCGGCACACAGCGAGGATCGGCTGGAACCCGATGACGTCGTCGCCCTCCGTTTACTCTGAGCCACTGTGCTGTCCCCAGAGCCGCCAGCCGTGTGTGTGGCTCTTTAAACTCAATGAAAATTAAAAACAGGTAAACGTTGAGTTGTTCGGTCGGACCAGCCACCCCTCAAGTGCTCTGCCCGTGGCCAGCTGTGCCTTGGCGGCGCCCTAAGGACAGGCCTGTCAGTCAGGAGTGTCCCCGCACAGTGGCTGCTGTCACAGAAACAGGGCCGAGGCCCCCCCGGGCCAGCAACCTCCTGTGACAACGGTCCGACCCACGCTGGGGACTACGTGAGCCATTCTATGCATCTAGTCCGCCTTCCCAGCACGCGTGGCGTCGGTGGGGCGAGGGGCTTCCACGTGTGCAAACGTGGAACACGGAGACCACGCGTGGCGGCGAGACGCTCAGCCGCGTGGAAGAGCAGCCGCGTTGGCGGCAGGCAGCGGGAGCGCTCTGGTGTGCTGTCCACACCCTCCTGTTTTCCAAGTTACCGTTTCTATAAGGAAAGAATCCACCTGAAAAGCCCACATGCCACACGGGCCCCCTCGTCCCCGCCCCGGTTTGTGAAAGGTTTTCTGTTCTCAGAACAGAATCCCCACTTATGTTGGCCCCCGTTCCACGTCTACCACTGGCTGCCGCATCCAGTGAGACGACGTGACAACGCGCAGCACGAACAGGGGTACGGTGACCGCGTTCGCTCCCGCTGTAACCTGCCCGGAGCAGCGGGGCCGGGCCCCCACGCCGAGGATCGTGGGTGCGTCTGCGAGAGGGCGGTAAATAAGCAACCAGTGAGCGCGGGCGCGGAGTCGCGGGCCCGGTGGAGCCATCGGGGTGAAATGACAGAGGGGGAGGCGTCCCTGTCGGGGAGACTTGGTCCTGGGCCCCCAAGGTGGGGGGAGGCATCCTGAGGACCCACTGGGGGGACAGCAGGCGGGCGCCTGGGGCGCCCAGAGGGGCCAGGCCAAGCCACCAGGGCCCGGGGCCAGGCCCGAATGGTCCCATGCTCCTTGCCTCCCCGCCAGACTTGGCAGGTGGGCCCTGGGCCTTGCTTACAGCCCCACCGCCAGGGCAGGCAGGGAGCAGGCGCGCAGGATCGGGTGAGGCGGCGCTGGGGTGCCCGTCCTGGCCCGGCCCGCGGTTCTCTCGTCCGTCCCCCCAACGTTCCCCCGTTCCCCTCATCGCAGAGGCACGGGCTGTCTCTACTCTAAAGAGCAGCGCCGGACGGCCCACAGCCGCCTGCGAGCCGCCCCACTCCCCCGCGCCCGGCCCCGCCGCCCCCAGCCCCCGCCTGACCCCACCGCGGAGCCCCGGGCCTTGTCGCCGGGGGCGCATCTTCCGGGCTCCGTGCCCAGCGCCCTCCGTGGGGAACCTCCGTGGACGGGAGCGCCCCCTGCGGCGCCAGGCACTGGGGACGCAGCCCTGGCGCGGACAGACCGCACGCGCAGGCGGCCGCCTACCTGAGTCCTGGTGGCTGTGTGTCAGGTACACCGGGTCCAGCTTGAAGGTGCCTATCAGGTCCACTCTTCGTCTCACCCTGGTGTCAGAGGGCAAACGACGGGCTTAGGGGAGGTGTCTCGGGAGGGTCTGCGCGCCGCCGCGGCCGCCTGCCCCCTCCTCCCCCGGCCCAGCGCCGGCCCGCCGGCCCCGACCCTTCCGGGCCCCCGCCCTCTGCCCAGGCCCCCCGCCACCCCGGCTTCCCAGCAGCACAGCATGCGTCTGCCAAGCGCCGGGCACCTGGGGACAGGTGGCATAATAAAGAATAAATATTTGGGCTCTGTCCCTGGTTCCTGGCACACCGCACCAAAATCCCCTGGAGTCTGGGCAGTGATAAGAGCGTCCTCTCTATGCCAAGGAGGTGGCAGGTGGCCGGGCCCCCGGTTTCAGGATGGGGCCGGCTGCCAGGAAGTCCGGGCCGCCGGCAGAGGGGCGGCACTCCGAGCCCGGCTGCCCCGTCTTGGGAGGGGCTCCTCGCCAGTGGCCGACGTGCCCGTCATCGCGCCTCTGTGATGACACCTCCGTCCAGCCGAACATGACGCGTCTGGGACGCCGGCCTCTGGACACACCTGGAGGGGAAGCGGCGCCCCCCCACCCCGCCCCCTCCCAAGGGTCCCTTCCATGTGGCCGTTCATTTCTGTCCTTTCCCATAAACCCAGAAATCTAAGGGCAGCGTTTTCCTGAGTCCTGCAAGGTGTTCCAGCCAATTACTCACACCTGAAAGAGAAGGGGGTGGGGGACCCTGATTTTGTAACCACGTGGACCTGGGACCCGCCTGCGGCCCATGCCTGAGCCCTTACCCTGCAGGGTCAGGTGGTCGGGGCCGGAACAGAGCGTGGGACGCCAGCTGGTGCCTGGCGCACCGGAGACCGGGGTCAGGAGGAGAGTCCCCGCGTGTGGCGTTGATCCCGAAGGACCTGGCTGGTCCCGGTGGGCGCTGCGGTGGGCGCCGGGGGGCGGTGCAGAGGGCTGGTGGGGAGCCGGCCATGGCCGGGCTGTGCAGCCCCCAGACCTCCGCCCTCCGGCGCCCGCCTGCCTGTCCCACGGGACACGCGTGGGGCGAGGGTCCTTCCGGACACATAGGGCCATGCCTCCCATAGGGACGGGGATTTACAGCATCGGCCCCTCCTCGTTCGGCAGCGTGGACGCCACCTCGACGCCCCGTGGTGGCAGACAGAGGGGCGGACAAGGAACGTGGGTCTCGCAGGAGGTGGCGTGAGGCTCGAGTCCCTGAGAGAGAAAGCCAGCAAGCGGGAAGTGGGGTGCGGCGCCCCGTGAGGACACAGGGACGGGCGGCGTGCACTCGGGAGAAGAACGGAGGTGTCGTCCCTGCAAGGGCAGCTCTCAGGATGCTGCTTCGGAAGACAGGCTGAGTACACAGCCAAACCGGCGCCCCTCCCCTCGCCGCCCCCAGGGGGCGCCATGCGCCTGCGCCAGCTCCTGCCCCGCAGAGCTCTGGGTTCTCCGCGCCAGCCTGTTACCTGCGGTGCTGCCTTGCATGCTTCTAAACGTACCACAGATGCAAGATTCAGAAACCTCAGCGGCATCATTTGTGTGTGATGTTCTGCAATTTGCCTTCTCTCTCAAAGACGCACGCACGCCTTTCCCACGGGCCCCTCCACGGGGTCCCCGTCTGCTCCCGCTCTCGGCCTGCGGGGGCCAGCCCACCACGTTTGTCTTCCCTGCTCCCTGGGCCGCCCTGGGTGCGAGTAACCAGCAGGTTCCGCTTTATCAAGTTCCGCAGAAACGCCCGCCCGGGCCGGCCGCGGCCTCGCGCCCGGGGCTGACGCCGAGTCTCCCCCTGTGCGCAGCAGACAGGCCACGTCACTCAGTGAGGGCTTCCGGGGTGGCTTCCAAAAGTGGCATTGTTTTCTTCCTAAAAACTTACACAGGCGTTGATATGTGGGTTCATAGTAGCCTTGTATCTCTCCTTGCTATTGTAAACAGTATTTCTTTAAAAAAAAAAAATTACATGTGCTATCGTATAGGTGAAAAATGCAACCTTAAAAAAAAAAGCTGCGTACCTAGAAATCTCACTGTGTCTCTTATTAATAATACTTTCATTGCAGAGTCTCTGCTTGTTGCGGACAGGCCTGTCACCTTAGAATACTGAGTTTTACAGCTTCCTGTCTACCTGTCGCTCTTTCGCCTCTTTCTCTCTCTCACAACACAGGTTGGGACGGCACAATGCCGGGACAAGCGGGAATTCAGGAAATCCTCGCTTTTTCCCTGACTTTAAGAAAGTGCTTGTAATATTTCACCATTAAGAATAGGTTTACTGTGGTTTTTTGGTAGCTTTTTAAAAGTCTGATTAAGGATGTTCTCTTCTGTTCGTATTTTACTAGAAGCTTTGCCCTGCATGGGCGTTAAATTTTATCTGATGCTTTTTTGGCATCTACTGTGATAAAAACGTTTTCATTCTTTACTGTTAACATGGCGAATGACATTTTAAAATCTTCAAATATCTTTAAATCACCTGGGTATTTCTGGAGTGTACACATTTTGGTCATGATGGAGTGTTTTTTTAAAGTGGACTTTTATTGGCGAGCGTCTGAGTGAGTGATACACTTGAGCTGGTCCTGTGGCTTCTTCCTCAGTTCCCCCCTTGGCCTGGGGGTCGAAGTCACGCTGGCTCCGTGACATGAGAAGGGGTGTGTCCCGCTGTCCCCTGAGAACGGCGCGTGAGAGGACCACACGCACCCGGATGGACCCAGGCCTGGGCGGCCGACAGAGCTTGCCGCACGAAGCTGGGCATCCCCGCCGTGGGAACGTTTACGCGCAGGCACCGGGGCTTTGAGAGCTGCGAGGCTTTTCAGGGTTTCTACCGCGGGCGTTGCTTTCGGAACAGTGTCTTGTAGTTGTCGAGCGTGCGCGTCGGGGGCCCGTTTCGGCGGGACGCCACGCAGGGCCCCCGCCTGGCTTCCGGAATCCCCGTCGAGCCCGCGGCGCCGCCCTCCCAACTCCCCAGGACGGGCTGCTGCGTCGTCACCTCTGCTTTGACCCATCCTCCCAGGGTCGCCCACCCTGAAGCAGGTCGAGGACCCGCGGGCGGCGCTGCGGCCCGCGTCGCGCTGCCCCGGTTTTCCGTGTCCTCGGCATCCTCTCCCCTGTGCGGCTCCCTCCTGCTTCCGGGCGTTTATTCCGCGGCTGTTCCCCAGCCTCAGCCTGGGGAACATCGTTTCCTGACTCTGTTTCTCCGTCGGCATCCGCGTCCAGGTCCTGCCCCAGGTGCGTGACACGCGGTCGTTCTCGGCGGCGCGACCTGCCGCTCTTCGGGGCGCCGATCTTCGGGGTCCCGCCTCCCGCGGAACCACGCATGTTGACCCGCGAGTCCAGTGGGTTGGGGTTGAGGTGCCAGCCTCACTTTTCCTGGTGAAGGGGACCGTGCCGCCGAGAGGAAGACTTCAAACCAGCACCCGGGGGTGGGGAAGCTTCCGGATCCGCATCGGTCTCACTGGGACTGGGCCCCGGCGGAGGAAAGTCCCCGTCACCAGACAGACACACGTCTGCCAGCGGCCCCAAGGGTCGGGGGACGGGGCGGCTCCTGGGTTGTGCTCAAAGCCAGGCTGCTTGGGTGGCCTTTGAGAAACCTGCGCTCTGCACAAGGGTCCCCGAAGGAGGGCACAGGTCACCAGCTTAAAGGACCCAAAGTGCTGCTGACACCAGGACCGAGGCACAAAGGAACCAGAAAGATAATGCAAGAGACTGGGCGCGAAAGGTCCAAGGGCAGGTCTACAGCCAAGCCTTCCCGCCGCTACAGCGGTTAAAAACCTTCCCAAGTAACTGACTTAAAAAGAACAAAAACAAAAAACAAAAACAAAAAAACTCCTCCGCGTAACAGAAGTGTACCAAGGCTGTACAACTTTCCGTGACAAAATTTAATTTTATTTGGAAAAAAAACAAGTCTCTTTTTAAAAGCAGATAAAACATGCCCTGAGTGTGTGTGGATGAGAGGCTTTCTTTGGAGAGTATCTGGTACTAAAGCAACACGTTAACGTCTGAGCAGAGCGCTTCCTATTTACTTATAAAAGATCCGAAGAGCCGCGCGAGCAGTAAAAAGCTCACGACCAGCGTGAGGAAACCCTTGCGGAGCGTGTTCGCAGTGTGTGTAACGAGGGCCAGTTCCAGAAACTTCAACTGTCTCCTGCACGTCCATGTTTAGAGAACAGAACCAACGTGTTTGCTTTCAATTACGGACTAACCGTCGGTGGAATTTCATTACACAAGAGAGACACCTCCCACTTTAAGGAGTGCAATAAAAAAGAAACCCTTTCAAAGCGTGTTTGTTGTATTAGCAAAATCTTTAAGCGCTTCTGTGGAAAAGTCACAACGTCCCCCTGTGTGCGTGTTTCCAGCTCCGGAAGGCAGAGGGCACGGGGTCTCTTCGGGGGGGGCTCCTACGCGCACCCCTACTACCTGGGTCCTCTCGTCAGGACACCTCCTCCTCCTGCCGTGACGTCCTAGGGCGGCCAAGCCGCGTCCTGAGGGCGTGGACACCCAGGACGGACAGGGAGGCCTGTGAGGGACCGGCAGTCTTCGCCCTCCCGCCTGGCCGTTGCCACACTGCGGGGCCCAGCCCGTCCACGCCCGCGAAGACGCGCCGGCCCCCCCGCACCCCCGACAAGCGCTCGGCGGACCCCCCGCGCCAGCGACCAGGAGAGACACGCCGCATCCCGCCGTTTGCCTGTGTCCCCGGGGCCGGGCACGCCTGGCCTCGGGCCTGGGGCGGTCAGGATCCTAAGAGAATGTGGAGGCCGCAGCAGCTTGGACAAAAGCAGCCGCAGAATCGGGGCCCGAATTAGCCTCGTTCACTCCAACACACAGCGCACCCCCCCCCCGCCCGGCCCCGTCCAGGTTCTGTGGATCCGTTGTGACCACCCCGTGCGTTCCGTGCGCGTCTCGGACCTGCACCTCGTGAGCCACACGGTTCTCCCTTTTTACGCAGGCCTGGCTGTTGGCACGTCACCTCGACGGTGTGGGACCCTGCGGGTGGCTCTGGCGAGGACCCTGAGCCCCTGGGAGGGAACCCCTCAGCCCTCCAGCGGACTCCCGCATAAAGCAGGGGCGCAAAGTGGCACCGGGGAGCGGGGGCGATGGAAGGAGGTGGGGGCAGTGAGAGGCGAGCACCGCCTACGAGCAGGGGTCGGTTCCAGTGTCAACGCGGAGCTCAGGGCGCCAGGGTGGGTGAGCGCGGCAGGTGGGAGAGGCGGGCGCCCCGGATCAGGGGTGGCGCCCCTCTGGGCCCTCCCAGCGAGGCCAGGCGGGCCCTCTCCCCGGACAGGTCTGCATTTCACCCCCTCACAGAACCTGGGACGTAACTCCGAACGGCATTTCCCGCGACGCTGGCCCGCAACTGAGGCCCCTCGAGCCTGGGCAGGGTGGCACTCTGGGGCCAGCTCCCTGAGCCCGAAATCTAATCCCTTCCGAGGAAAGGAAAGCGTGGCCCTTCCCCTGCTCGTTGTCTGTGGTCTGAGCCGAGCACTCCCCACCACGGCGCACAGGGCGAGGCCGACCTGGTCCCCACCCATGGGCAGGGAGCGGCGTCTGCACGGAGGAGCAGGGAAGGGCGGCCGGGTGCAGGAGATCAAAGACCGCGAAGTTTGACGCGAGTCACACAAACAGGAAGTCACGGCCCCCTGAAGATGACGAGGTTTTAAATAAGCTCCCTGGTACAAGTCCCAGCTGGTGGCCTATGGCTTTCGCTAGCCGCTTCTCAGCGGTGCTGCTGTGGGCCAGACTGGGCTGTCGCCCCCACGTTACCATGTGGGACTTCTAAGCCCCCGGCCCCCTGACAGGACGCATTTGGAGGAAGTCTTTTAAAAGATGATTAAATCAGAAGGAGGTCATAGGTCTTATAAGGACTAGTGTGTCCTCCTAAGACGCATTACTCTCCTGAACCTGAAAGAACGCGCGTCTAGGGCTTCGTACGCCTCCTAATAGTTACTTCCTTGAACCCCGGTGTGGGAGACAGCCGACCGCCTGACTGTCCGAGTTCTCGTTCTCACTGTAGCTACAGGGTCCCGAGCGTGGCCTGGCTGCTAGGAGCATCCAGAGGGTGTCTTAGGGAACAGAGGCCCTGCTCCTGGCCCCGAGCGTGTGTGCGCAGGCCTCTGCACTGAGATGCATTCAGCACCCAAGAACAAAAAGACAGAAGCAGCCGACCAAGGGCGCGGCCCCCAGGCTCCCAGCGTGGGATGCTGGGTCAGCCAGAGCCCAGTTTCCCAGGCCGGCTTCTCACCACGCTTGCCCCGTGGGTGACGGAGCCCACGGGGCCAGTTAGCGGGGGCGGGGTGGGGGGCACAGTGAGAAAGGGAAGCAGGAGCGAGGGGAGCTTGTCCGCGTGCCCCCAGCCCCAGGTCCCCCCAGACCCTGTCCTGAGGCGCCCTGGGCATCGACGAGCGCACAGGGAGACTCACCACATGGCAGAGCAGTCAAAATTCACCAAGAGCCACTTGTGGGGGTTGAAATTAAAGGAATCTGCAAACTGCCAAGAAATAATAAAAACAGAAAGAAAACATTTTCGTGACTCGTGCTGAGGAAGAAGGCAGGAGGCCCCCCTCCTCGCCCACCATGGCAGTGCGTTTGTCTCCACCAGTAACACAGCAAGGCCCCGTTGGGGGGGCGGGGCGGGGGGCCGAGGTCACCGCAGCCCCGGGGACCAGGGCCATGGGGCCCGCATGGGCAGCCACCGGACTGCGGAGCCCCTTTTTATTCACTTTCAAGCGGCAACAACAAAGCACAGCTCATGAAGCGCAAAGTAAATACGCGTCTGATCCTGGGCTGGAACCCGGGAGGAGGAGGAGCGCGTTGGGGTCAGAGAGTCGGGTTCACGGCCCCAGCGGGTCCCAGCTGCAAACAACTGGCTCCGGGGCCACTCGCCCCCCCAGGCGCCACTTGACTTTCCAGCAGAAAGTAAGAGATTTCAGCGGCCACGGGGCCAGGGGGAGCCTGCCGCATTTCTGCGCGGCTGTCCCAGGAGCCCAGGCCTTGTGCTTTTCACAGCGGGCGCCAGGTTTCCCCCTCGGACGGGCGAGCGGGACCGGGGTCCACCCGGAGGCCCGGGGACAGGGCCACAGGCCATGGGCCAGTCCACAATCACAGCAGAAATGAACGTCTGGCCAAACCTCCTCATGGGGGACCTGGGACTCCTGGAGGACCCTGCGTCTGGTTCCAGGGGCGAGCCCCAAGGAGGTAGGAGGGCACAAGGGGCCTGGTGCGCATCAGCGCGGCCTTGGGGACAGCTGAGGGCCCCCGCTCTGAGGGTGCGGGTCCATTTCCTCCCAGGCTTCCGTCAAAGTCATTTTGAGAGAGAGACAGGAAATTACAAAGAGTTTCGTTTGTTGATCAAAGGTAACAAAAGGTGAGAGAAAGGCTTTGTTTGCTGGGAATGTTATTAGCTCGCTCCTGGGGGCTGATCTGTTTAAACTTCTTTCATTACCCAACTGCGATATTCTCATCTTCCTGCTGACAGAGAGAAGGCTCTTATCTGCCCGCAGGCCCCGGGCAGGATATTGCAGCCCCTTATCTGAGCAGCTGAGCTGAGTGCAAGGCAAGGCCCGCCAGGCAGGGAAGGGTCCCAGGAAGATGCAAGCCTCCTGGCTGGACCGACATCCTGTCTGGGGCTGATAGAGCCCGCTCCCCCCCCCCCGCGCCCCCCCCCCCCCCGCACAGTGCCCTCCCACCCCCGCTGCGCTGGTCTGACCGGGAGGCACCCCCATGAAAGGTGAAACCTCAAGTTCATGGGGAAGGGAAGAGCATGGTGGGAAAGGTCTGAAACCCTAAACCTGGCGGTTGGGAAGGACCAGTCCTGGGAGGGGCAGAGCCTCTTGGACCCTGCAGGGGCAGCCAGTCCTGGGGGCACGGGGCCGTCCCCAAAACACACGGCATCTCTAGGGCAGGGAGACTGAGTCTTCGTTTCCCAGCACCAAACAACACCAGCCATCAGAAGTGACCTGCAGGGGGCGGGGGTCATGAGGCGGCGTCAGAGCCTCTCCCGGAGCCCCCTGCTCACGGGCAGCTCCCTGCACACCCTGAGGATTGATCTGAGCCCTCAGGAATTCGGGGATGGATACTTTATCACCGGATGAGGGAGGGAATGCACGAACGTGACGGCAATAGAAGCCAGCACCCGACGTGCTCCTCGGGGCTGCAGGGACGGCTCTCTTCCAAACGGGGGCATTTGTACTCTGCGCCCCGTCCCCTTTTCCTGGCGTGGCAGCGTTCTCGGCCGGAACTGGCCATTAGGCAGCGGACAGGCGGCAGGACACCGGGTGGAGACAGGGTCTGGGGACGGCCTCCCCAGGCCCCAGTGACAATGAATGACGGCATCTACTGCGCGCACAGAGCTGACTGTGTGCCAGACGCGGTCTGTAAGCCCGTTAAATAGGATTAACTCCTCTGATGTGGCAGCAACCCCTCGAAGGAGGTGGCGGCTAAACCCATCCTGTGCGATAGGGAGACGATGCCGGCCCTGCTCAAGGGGACACAGCCCCTCCTGGGGAACAGCCGGGGCCCAAACAGGCCGTCCAGTGCCCTTACTCCCACACCCCACATGTGGCGAGGCTTCAGGGGACCCCGCCTCCGGGCACAGAGCCGGTGCCGTGGCTCCTCCAGCGTCCCCTTCCCTGCCTCACGGGGCCTGGGCGCCCCCCGGGGCAGCTGCGTTCCAGGCGGGGGGGTGGGGGGGCACACATCCTCAGGCGAGGATTTAAAAAGAAAAGTCACTGGTCACACAGCGCTTCTACAAAGCAATCTCACTGAAGCGCACACCCACCTCCACGCCGTTGAGAAGGTGCCGGAACTCGGGGCAGATGAAGGCGCTGCCCGCGTAGGCGGCGTCGATGTGCAGCCACACGTCTTCTTTGTTACCTAGGAGCCAGAAGCGACTGTGACTTCCGCAGCGGACGACGCCCTCCATGCACAGGCCTGACAGTGGCCTCGTCCGAGCCCGGAGCCCACGCACCACCGTGGCCGCCCTCGTCCCTGGATCCCTAAAGGCCTCCCCACCCGGAAGGGAGTGAAGCTGGGGCCGGGGCGTGGGCTGCTGGCCCGGGCCCGACCAGGCACTCACGCACCATGCTAAGCAGCACTGCGATAAAGTTAGTTTGTCACGCGACATGTGATGGCCTAAGTATTATAATAGCGAGAAGATGTTATGGGGGAGGACCCAGAGGAAGGTCTGCCCAATCCCTGCCCGGACGCAGCGTCAGAAGAAAACACGAGCGGTACTTACAGAGGGGCCCCAGTTCCAAGAGGTTGTCGAAGGAGCAGCAGGACGTGGTCCCCAGGGTCGCCACCACCTGGAGGGTGCAAAGCAGACGTCCGGTCAAGCCCACACGTCTGGGTCACAACGGCTGCCCCGAGCCTGGGACGGGGCGCGCTTGGTGACATCTGCCGCGTGGAGACGTGATGCTGAGCACACACTCATCTTTGCTGGAAGCGCCCGGGCAGTTCCTCCCGCATCTCATTTTCCTCTGATACATTGTAACTCAATGAAATGCAACAACTTCCGATTGTAGGTTATAGAAGTATTAAACAGCCCCTCCTTAAAATCATTTCCTGTCTGTTAATGTGCACCCAGAGCAGTGCATACGAGGATGTTGACCAAATTTTAACTCCGTTTGTCTCTCAGGATGAGATTTGGGTTCATATACATTTAACAGAAACCTTTGTCCTTGGGTTTGTCTTCCGTTACTGATGCTGCTGTTCTGAGCACGGAGCATTTAACAAGCGGCACCTGCCGGGGAAAGGCCGCGGCGGAGAAGGGGGAGGGCGTTTGCTCTGCCGACGGGCACCCAGGCGTCACGGGCACCCTCCGTGCCGGGTGCGGTGAGGACCCCTGCCTTGCCCAACCCGCGTGAGACTCTGGGGCGGGTCCGGACACGCAGGGAGATGGAGCCCGGCGCGCCAGCCACGCCAGAGCCCCTGCCAGCCAGCCCGAGCCCGCGCCACCCAGGCAGGTGGGAGGCTGGGGTGCCGGTGGGGACCAGGCTCTCGGGGGACGGCCCCGCCTGCGCGGTGTCCTCGGTGGCTGCGAGCCAGCCCGCCCCAGTTCTCAGAAGCCACTGCAGCGCCCAGCCCCTGCTCAGCCCCAGGCCCTGGGGAGCTGGCTGGCGCGGCCACACTAACTCGATTTCAGCAGAGGCGTAATCACATTTGTGCAGGAGGAGGGAGGGGAGGGGACGGGCTGGCGCCCCGTCTTGGACAGCCCCAGGCCTCCCTGCTGCCCAGGACGCGCTCCCTTCCAGAGCCTTCTCTCCTGCCGGAGCCTCCGCCGTGCGGCTCGGCTGGGGTGCGAGCCCACAGGCCCTGCACTCCGCACCTGGCCTGACCTCCGCAGGAAGCCCTCAAAGAGCCAGGGAGCCGTCAAACATGCCGCTGGCTCTCAGCAGCGGCTGTGCCTGTTGAGGGGTGCACAGCCCCTTGGGCGTGCAGCGAAGCCAGGCACAGAGTTTTAGTGCACGTGTGGCCTTGTAACCCCTGGATAGGCAAGTCCCGGCTCTGGCCTGCAGGTGCGGCTGCCTCTCCGCTGGCTTCGCAGGCCCTCGGTTGCCGGTTTAGGACAGCACATTGGCCGCGCTTCCTCCAGCATCCTGGGACAGCTCGCAGCTCTGCGCCTTTGCTGTCTGTGGAGCCGGGCGGCTCTGACGGCGGGGACATGCCCAGACAGCGGGGGCGCCCTCCGAGCCACGCGCCCCGTCCCGGGTGCACTAGGACCCTCCGCGGCTGTGAACTGTGTCCAGCACCCGGCTCCGCCCTAGAGATTCTGCTAAAATTACCGCGCCCCCCCCCACCCCCCGCTCATGGTGCCCCAGGTGAAGCCGCTGTGCCGCCAGGTGTGATTCCCCGAGGCCCCCACCCGCGGCCACGGCCACGCCAGGGGCGGCAGTGCCCGGGCTCTCCTGGCCACGTGCACCGTGCGCGGCTGCGCCCAGGAGAACCCAGCGCCCTGCGGCTGGCGGATGTTTCACCCACGTTCCTGCTCGCATGTGTCCCTCACCGGGGACACAGCCCAGCATCTGCCGGCCCCGCTGAGCTGCGCAGCGCCCCCTGCGCTTCACCTGGAACTCGGGTCGCAGGCCCCTCACGCATGAGCCCGTCACACTCATGACCGTCACGCGTGCCATTGTCTCGCACACCTCAGGGCAGAGCTGTGACACAAAGGCCCTTCGACTGTGAGCACGTGGTTTCACCCCCGAAGCAGGAGCGAGCTTGCCCTGGCAGGGCCGCCGGGGGTGGGCTCTCTGCCCTCCCCTCTGAGATTTACGCAGGGAAGGCAGACACGCGCACCCTCCTCCAGCCTCCGCAAGGAGCGGCCCAAGTGCCACCGGCCTGGGACCCCTTTGGAGGCTGGAGAGAGGCCGCCCCGGCCCTAACCTCAGACCCAGGCGGGGCGCAGGCATCAGCAGCCCCTCACTGAACTTACAAAGAAAGGGATCAGACCAGCCGCCTTGTCCTTCCTCAGCGCCTCCTGCAGGGCGGAGCCACGCATGGAGAACTTGTCGTCCGAAGGGATGGCTTTGAACTTCACTCCCCCGATTAACGTGGCTCTTTCCACGGAGCTGTGGGCCTGCGGAGAAAGCAGCAGAGCGAGGCTCATGCAGCACGTGCTGGCCACAGGCCCCCAGCTGCGCAGAGCGGTCCCGGGGCCAGGCTGCGGCGCAGCCCGCCCAGAGAGCACACCCTCCCCTGCCCCTGCCAGGCCCGCCCGCTGCCGCGGCCCTGCAGGCTGCTCAGGGCGCATCTGCCCGGTCGACGGTGAACAGCTTCAGCCCTGCTCCCACCCGTCCTCCCCGCTCCGGGCACCAGGCAGGAGCAGCATACGGAATGGCGCCCGGGCACGGTCCTCGCTGCTGTCGCGGATTCGCCTGACTCCTGGCACCTAGCACGGTGCCCACCGTGCAGCACCGTTGCAAGAATCAAGAAGCCACCAGTGTGTGTGGGGAAGGGCTAAACTCCCTCCCAGAACCCCACGGGGAAAGGCCACATCCCTACGTTCACGGCAACTCAACATGCATTTATCAAGCGTCTACACGTGCGTTTTCTCAGGTGTCCCCCTGGCCTCCTCCTGGGAGACAAGGGAGACACAAACGCAAAATCGTTCACTTTATGTGCAGGCGTGTCTCACGCGTGGGGTTAGAGTCCACACTCAGGGACAGTCCCCCGACTAAGCAGCGAAAGACGGGCGTGAACGTTGTTTCAGCCACCTGTGTTCGTTGACCCGGACGAAGCTGTCCCCGTGGAAATGCCTGGCTTAAACATGCGTTCAAGATAAACACAGGGCAGCGGCACTAGCTCGGCCGTTCCATGAGGGGCCCGGATTCCTGAGGGCACGGCCGTCGAGCCTTTTGGGGGGCCCTGCTGACTAGAGTCTCCCTCCCAGAGCCACTTTCTGAGGCTCTAGTCCTTTCCTCAGGTGGTTCTCACATGATTCTGTTTCCGTTTCTGTTTTCTCTTAACCTACGTCAAAGGGCTGGTCAGCAGAGCCGCCCCGGACGTGCCTGTCTGTCTAGTTCTCTAACCGGGGTTCCGTGTGTCAGGTCGGCACCCCGCAGAGGAGCAGTGACGCCCTACCCGGGACAGCGTGTCTGTCCCTGTTGGATGATGGAAAAGGCTCAGAGAGCTCACATGATTTGCCAGAGACCACGGGGCTTAAAGCGGGGGAGCAGGGGTGGGAGCCCGGGCCTGCGAAGGCGGCCAGGGGTCTCAGGGAGGCCGCTGTGGACGGCCAGAGCCGGTCCTCATAGTCACCCGGCACCTTTACGTTCAGCTGGACTTACTAAGTCCCCCTGCAGCCCACGCCCTCCCGTTAGAATGGGCGTCCACCTCCGTGCCCCCGGACGGGGCTGTTCTGCGACGCCATAGGCTGCTGCATGGCCTTGTTTTGTCTCGATTTCACCTAAAACAAAACCTGCAGATCTTAGCGGCCGGGTGGAGCTTCGGGACATCACGCTTACCTGGTCCGAGAAGTAGGCCACCAGCTTCTCCATGATGGCGGCATCGGTCAGCTCGGGGTGGGCAGCCTGCAGGCGGCGGATCGCTCTGCTCCGAGCGGCCAGCAGGGCCATCAGCGTGGCCTCACTGGCGCTTCCCTACAGCGAAGGGAAGGGGAAACACGCTTCAGAGCCCGGTGACAGGGTCAGGGTCTCAGCTGCGGGAGGCACAGGAGTGGATCTCGCTGTTCTTAGAAGGTGCCTCTGAAACTGTGAAGTTCACCCCCCTCACACGGGAGGGCTCGGGGCCCCCGTGACTGCTGCCTTAGGTGTTATTCTGTCCGAGGAGCGGCCCAGCCAGGCACCAGCGCCAAGTCTGGCTCTGTGCGCCTGCCCCTTGGACAGAGGGTTTGCATGGGCTTGTAAATGGGGCCGGTTTCCTGGAGACTCAGAAATCGCCTTAGAGCGGGGTCCCCAAGCCCCTTCTGTGAGCAAAACCCTCCTGAGCTGTGTTGCCAGCACCCCCACCCAGTCTTCCACAAAACTGGTCCCTGGTGCCAAAAAGGTGGGGACTGTTCGCTGCCTCAGAGGGTTTCCCTCCATGCCCCCCGTTAGGGGCTGCATTGTGTCCTCCCAGATGTCCTGTGGGGAAGTCCTAGCCGCCAGGACCTCAGAATGTGACCGTATTTGGGTGTTTGGAGATGAGATCTTCAAAGTGGTCACTAAGTTTAAAGGAGGTCTTTAGGCTGGGCCCTAATCCGGAGCGGCGGGCGCCCTGAGCAGAGGAGGAGAGGGGACGCAGGCGTGGATGCACACAGAGGACATGTGAGGACACGGGCCGCAGCACCCGCTGACAGTGCGCAGAGGCCCTGGCCCGCCGGCCGTGCCGCCGCCTTGGCCTTGGGCTCCCGGCCTGCAGGACCGGGAGGCAGCACCCCCCTGCCGTTGCAGCCGCCCGGCCTGGGGCACCTGGTTGTGGCACCTTTGCAAACAGTCACAGTGAACGCCAACGGCTCGTTCCGGGGACGTGGCCAAGAAGGCGCGAACTTCACCCCGTCGGGGAGGCTGGACTCGGCGCCCCGCACATCATCCCCGTTCACCGGAAGGTGGTCCCCTTCTCGGCGTCCACGGTCTCCAGGTGGACAGCGGCGGCTCAGGAGAGTTAGGGAGCCGGCCCCGGGCGCGGGCGCGGGGTCCAGCCCGGGAGGGGGGGCCCGCGGCTGCTCAGGGCTACGGAGCCTGAAGGAACCCCTTCAGGAAACCCAGGAGCCGCCTGGGACCGAGGTAAGAAAGGCAACGTGTGAGAGGCGGGTTTTTGTTGACTGTGAGGAAGGGATTTAAAGAGTTTAGAGTTTCACAAGGACGAATTGAATAAATAAATAAATAAATAAATAAAGGTTAACCTCTCCGTTCACAGCTCATCCTCTCAGCGTTTACCTCGGTGGCCTGTTTTTATGGCCAGTGTAACGCTTTCATTTCTTTGACGCCAGCGTCCTTGGAGGAGATGGGCGGGGTCGGGAGAAGGACGGGTTTCCTGGTGGTTCCGCGGCAGGACTCGCCCCCGTCTGTCACCTTCTTAGCTCCGCCTCAGGGAGGGGCTCACGTGCCCTCCAGGCGGGGCGTCCCCCGGCCTGGATTGTAGGCGTGGCGTCAACCACCGCTTTCCGCGTGGTGGAGAAAGCAGGCAGCCGGCCCGGCTCACTTGGCTGTGGCGGGGCGTCCAGACTCCCTGCAGGGGCGCGCGGGGACACGGCTCTCCGGCGGCCTCGGTCCTCGTGCACCCCCACAGTCCGCGTGTCCTGGGCCCTCGCTCACCCTCGCTGCAGGGGGAAACCTCTCTGCGGGCCCAGCCGCCGCGTGGGCGTCCTGCGCTCCGCGGCCCCTCGTGGGGCTGCAGCTCCCCTCAGGCCCCACTGGCCCCGCGGGGTCCGCCTGCTCTGAGCCACACTGTAAGGAAAGGCTGTGAACCACCATCCACGCTGGCTCCTTCCTCAGGGGTTTGCTCCAGGCTCCGTCCACGTCCTGAGAGACGACCCCCCTCCTCCAGGCCGCGGAAAGGGATTCTAAACAAGCTTGACGACAGGCTGTCCCCGAGCACCGGCGCCCCGGCCCTGAGGTGGCGGCGGGCTTGCGGCCCCCACTGGAAGCTGGTTCCTGCCGAGGGTGCAGCGGGTTCCTGCCGAGGGTGCAGCGGGTGCCTGCCAGACGCTGACAGCGGATGACACCTCTGCTGTGTCATAGCAGACAAAGGTTGCCATGGCAAGGCCGCCCAGGGGCAGGGGGGTTTTGGGGGGCGCGGGGCTGGAGCAGAAAGAGGCCCCCATCTCCCGGGCGCTCAAGTGTCTCCCACGCACACACGGGAAATGGCTTCTCTACCACGAGCGCTCTCAGACCCAGCCAGGAGGTCGTTGGCAGCCCTGCTTGTCCAGTCCCAAGGGGGCTTTGACATTTGACGCGGCTGCTGTCAGCTGCGATCAGGGCTCTCAGGGGCTCAGCGTCCCCTGCAGGGGAGGCCCAGAGCTGTCACCCAGCGCGGGCTCTCCGGAGCCTCGCAAATTACTACAATCAGCGCGTCAGCCGGGAAAGGCGAGGGCGAGCTTCCTGCCGCAGGCACAGCCTCGCCCTCGCGCCCCGCACCACCCCGGCCCAGCAGCCGGAGCCTCTTGGGCTCCACGGGGGGCAGGGGGTAGGGGGTGGGATCCCAGCCCCAGAGACGCCAGGATGAACCGCAGCCAAAGGGTACGACTTCTGTTGATGCTGGAAAGTGGAACTGACTTTCCAGACAAGATCCCTGAAAGATGTACCCAAGGCCATCACCGAGAGCAGGGGCAGGCGAGCTGGGGAGACAGACACACGCAGGCCCAGCGCGCGCCGGGGCGGAACACCCTGCAGGCTGGAGTCCCCACTTCCTCCCCTACAGGAAAGATGGCTGCTCATGCCATCAGCCGCCACACCTGTGTGGAGGCCGTGCCTGGCCCAGGCAGCCAACACATGCCCGGGCGCGTTCAGGACAGGCGGTCAGTGCAAGGCGGCTGTTATGAGGCGACAGCTGTCCTTAGAGTCAAGGGCGTTTGGAAGGTCTTTTGAGCAGCATCCAGTTCAAAGCAGGGCCTTCGGTGGCTGAAAAGACCGGGAAGCAACATCGTTTCTGTTGTTCAGCTCCAAAGGCCTGACACACTGCTTTTTGTTGCGCGTGGATTTTGGGTGGAGCGTGGCCACGGGCTGGGGCTCAGCCTGGACCACAGGAACAGGTGGCTGGCTTCGAAGATTGGGGCGCCTGGGCCTAAGGGTGTCCTCTGAAATGGTATTTGTAAGAGTGAAAATATCGATACAGCGTGTCTCTTCTGGTATGTGCATGAATTGTAGCGCATCGCAAAACATCAGGCAATACTATTTCCAAAGGGCCTTTACCTAATGGGACACTCTCACAATGGAAGAGGAAATGAAACACCATAGCGAGAATCCAAGCTCCATGTTGCATTACCTGTTTTGTTTAAGCACCAAAGGCATGGGTATGGAAATAACCTCCTGGGAGGAAGGGTTCCCCCAAATGTGTCCTTCAGTTTAGCAATGCATGTCCCCTCCTCACAAGGAGAAAGGGGACATACATATTTTTGGGAGTGAAATAGCAGAGCCAAGGTCGACGTTGAGAGCAATACAGTGGTGATGCGGAAAATTAAAACACCGATGTTGAGAAAACTGTGAGAAATACCCCTAAATGAAAGAGGGGAAAATGACAAAGAAAGGACACAACAGGAGACACTAGAAATCAGGGGCGGGGCGCCTGGCCCAAGGGGAGGGGACACTCCTGAGAGCCAGGCAAGGAAGAGCAAGTTTCGGATCGCTGGGCCCTACCCAGCCCCGGCCGGGGCCTCCCGCAGAGGGCACGCATGCAGCAGGGACGTGTCGGCGAAACGTGTGGACTCGTAAAGAAACAGTCCGCGGTGAGCGTCCGGGCTGCCCTGAGGCGTGCCGTGGGCCCGGGGCCGGAGCGGGGCCCCCTTCTCCTGTGACCCGGTCCACCCGCGACCCTGCTCTTCATCAGAGGAGGACGGCCATGCGTCCGTCCCCTGGAGGATCTCGGCCACTTCGCCAGGACGGGAGGTTCCCTGTCCCCACCGGGGTAAGTGCAGCCTCGGGAGCGTGGGGCAGGGGGCCCGGCCGCCGCGGGACGCCCGACAAGGGGCAGGCGGCCTGTCCTGCCGGGAGCTGAGACACGGAGCATCAGTAAGGGACGCGTCGCTGCCGTTCCACGCAGGCTGCAGCTGGCTCTGCAACCTCGTGAAAGCGGCGCTCGCATCGTAGTTATTTTTTTTCTCAGCTCCTGCTCAGAATCACTGATGTGGCATGTAAGGCAGGAGAGGACAGAGGGACAGGGTCTGATCCTGCCACGTGGGCCCGTGGGCCCCCGAGACGTCCCACTGATAAGGGCAAGATGATTTAAGAGGAACAGCCTAGCCAGAGACCCCCTCCCAGGTTAACTGTTAATCATTGCTTATCTGCTTCTGTAGCCCGTTTTTACATCCCTTCCCCCGCCTGGGTAGCACATCAATCTCTCGCTGGAATGCTAGGGCTTATAAACCCCCATCTAACCCCCATCCGGGGCTCAGAATTTGGAGACTGCCTCCTCTGAGCCCGCGTGTGTGAATAAAGGCTTACTCCGTTCCCTGAATCGTGTCTTGAGTCTGGCTTTCCGTAACACCACCTGTCACGGCACCGGGCCCAGGGTCTCTGCGTCAGGGTGGCCCGAGGTGCACGTTGGAACGCTTATCCCCGCGCCCACCCACGATCTGTCCAGCCCCATCTCTCGGGACAGAGCCCAGGTCACCTGCGGACCGGAAGTGGTCCACGGAGGGAGGGCCTCCCCAAGGCGCCTGGGTCTTCATCCCGGAACCTGGGAGTGTTCGCCTTATCTAGCAAAGGGATCGCCCTGATAAGATTAAGTTAAGAACTTTGACCCAGGGGATTATCTCGGCTTCTCTGGGTGGACCCAACTTAATCCCAGGGGTCCTTGAACCTGGAGAGCCATCTGTGGCCAGAGGGAGGCCTGAGGGAGTGGAGGGTCAGCAAGACAGGGCGTGGCTGGCTTTGGCGACGGAGCAGGGGCTGGGGCCAAGGACGTCCTGGAGGTGGTCGCCCAGGCCCCCCGTCAGCCCCGGGCCGGGCGCGCTGGGAGGCCCGCTCTGAGCGAGCGGCCTGCAGCCTCGGGGCTGGAGGCCGGAGCGGCCGTCCACGTTCCCTTTGGCCGCGGCAGCCGGGAGGCCACGCGCCCCCCAGGCCCGGCGGGCAGCAGAGCCGCTGCCCGCACTGTCCGCAGTGCCTTTGCGAAGACATCCTCCCGGAGAAGAAGTCCCTCTGCCTGCAGGGAGCAGAGCTTTCCCAATGTGGTGACCACCCTCCGGACGAGAAAGAGGTGACGTCGGAGCCGGCGGGGCTCCCACAGAGTCCCCCGACCGTGAGGAAACAGAGAGGCACTGGGTGCCGGTCTGCTCAGCGGCCACGGTCCTGCAGACCCCGTGGGGCAGGCTTCCCACTGTGACTGTCCTTGCGCGCCGTGTGCCCTGATGCACGTTCCGACCCACAGTCTCCGTCGGTGGCGCATGTCCCGCGAAGAGAAGGATGAACCCGTCCCATAGAAAACGGGGCCTCTTCGGGGCAGCCGTGGCCCCCGCGGATGTAGAACGTTGTAGAAGCTGTCACAGAGCACGGCCTCGGCGGCCGTGGGGTGGCCACGGTGACAGCCAGGCAGCCAGGCAGGCGTGGGCTTGGGGCCCAGCCCTGGAGCTTAGCTCCTGCCTGCAAATACAGCCGTCGGCCGGCACCCCCCCCCCCCCCGCGCCCCCCCGCCCCATGCCGAGCGGCCTTGCAAGAACTGAGCAGGAAAACCCTGGGAAGCGCTCGGCGTGCTGACCAGCCGCCGGGACCCGACGCGAATGTCCGTCATCGGGGTTCTCATCACTCAGCACTGTTGAGTGACCGCCGCTCCGGGAGCAGCGACGGGCGGGCGGCGCCAGCAGCCAAGCCCCGGACCAGCGTTCCCGGCGTCCGCTTTGCTTCCTCTGGGAGAAACATGAGGACACCCCCAGAGCACTCGCCCCTCCCCAGGCGGCGAGAGTCCCTGCGGACCCGCGTCCAGGGAGCTTCACGCCGCTGCCCGCCTCACCTGGATCACACCGCCCCCTTCGCTGTTGTCCTCAGCCAGGAAGGCTGCTGGCAGCTGCAGCATCTTCCCGAGCCAGTCCAGCATCACCGTCTCCAGCTCCGTGCACGCCGGGCTCGCGGCCTGCGGGAGGAGAGGCCTGAGGCCCGGCCCGCCCGCCGCCCCCGCCAGCTTGGGACAAAGGGGCGTACGGACAGGACAGCGCCATCCACCCACTTGGCAGGGGGTTTAGTCACTTTCAGAAGGCCCATCCCCACTCATTTTCAGAGCCCGCACCCCCAGACCCAGACCTGCCTCGGGAAGCCCCTGCTCGCTGTGGGGGAGGGGCCGCGCAAGTCTCTCCGTGACCTCGCCTCCCTCCGCCCACGGACTCCATCCTGAGGACGCCCCGCGCGCGCCCTCCCTTCTCTGCCATAGACCCCCGGGGGGCGGGGGCCGTGCGTGGGGCCAGGTCTCGCAGAACTTTGGGAGCAGCCACGAGGTGAATCTTCACTGGACCGAGGGTGAAAATTGCCGGCTCCCAGAAGTGAAGCCAAGTCCAGAAAAGCGTCAAAAAAGGGCTCTGACCAAGACGCACGGCAGAACGGCCAGAGGCCCGAGCGCCACGGCAGTGACCCCGCGGGCGCGCCGCACCCGCGCTCGCTCAGCCAGCCGCCTGCGTCCCCACGGAAGGACCCGAAAGGCGCGTGGGGGCCCCCTGCGCAGTCACAGGAAGTGGAATGGGGCCGAGGCAGGAGCTGGGTCCGGAGCCTTGGGCGCGTCCCGGACCTGCCTTTGGGCCCCGCTCCCCCGGCCGGTGCTCTGAAGGCCGTCCCATCTCTGCACGGGGCGGGGGGCATGGGCCTGGGCCGCAGCCGCGACGCTCCAAGCCTCCCCAAGCAGGCCCGCCTCGCGGGGCCGCAGGGGCGCGGCAGGCTCGAGGGCGGGGCAGGCCCAGCTGGACGCCCCGGGGGCGCCGTCACGCCCTGCGCCAGGGAGGCGGGGGCCTTCCCAGTGGGGCTGCGCCGGAGCAGAGCCCGGAGGAGGGGACGGCCGCCCGCCCTCCGAACAGGCGTCTTCCTGTCTTTGTGTCCCCAGGGGAGGTGGGCCTGGGCGGCGGGTGGGCGCAGGGGCTGGCCCCAGGAGCCCGGCGCTCCTGGTGCAGGGCCGCCTCCTGGGACGGCCGCCCCCGCTGGGAGCAGACGGGTGGGACCCGGGCAAGGGTGGTGCTCAGACGGGAGGACCGACAGAACCCCTCTGGTCTGTGCGGCGGGCATGCGGCTTCCCAGGCTGGGGCCGCAGAAGCCGGGGCTGAGATGTGGCCCACACCCCGCCCCTCTAAGAACGCCCAGCCGTGCAGACTTGCCTGGCGGGTGCTGACAGCTTTTCTGGAACAGTCTCTCTCTCTCTCGCCCGCTGTGGTCACTCCCCTGGGAGGCGCCCTCCCCAGGGCCAAGTCCCCGTCCTGTCCCACGGGGCACGGCCACCCGCGCACACCACGCCCTCAGGGCAGGGCCCCCGCGTCCCCCCTCACTCACCCAGGAGAAGCCGATGCAACCGATGGCCCCGCTCAGCATGTCGGCAAGTAAGGACGGGAAGGAGTTGGCCGTGGGGAAGTAGGCAAAGAAGTGGGGGCTGTGCCAGTGGGTCACCTGTGAGGAGACGGCAGTCACACAGGGGTGCGGCCCGGGCCGGGGGCTCGCACAGCGAGGGGCGTCCCAGCCGCGACCCGGTGGGTGCGCGTGTCAGCAGCAACCCGCCCGGAGGCCCCGGCTCTTTGCGGGAGAAGCCTGGTGTATTAAAACTGCTCCATAAAAATAGTCTATATCAGGAAAATGTTGGAAAAGGCCTGATTCTGGAGGTTTCTGCAGCTGGTCTTGCTGCCAGCCCTGCACTTCCTGTTCAGTCCCCACCCCTGCTTCGTCCCTCTGTCCCCAGATGCCATCGGGAGACAGGGCCGGGCAGGGTGCCCTGCGGGCCATCGGGGTGAGGAACTCCTGGTGGCGGCAGCCTGGCTGGGGCCGTCTCTGAGTTTGGGGGAAAGATGGGGGAGGAGGGGAAATGGGGGTGCTGTCCGCCCCCCCCAGGTTTTGCTTCTTCAATACGTTCTTTCCACGACACCAGTGTCCTGTGAGAACAGAGTGAAGCCCCGAGGACACCTGTGGGGCCCAGGGGAGGAGAGGATGCACAGGACAATCACGTAGGTCCCGCTTGGTCAGCCTCCAGGGCGCGTGAGTCAGCAGCCTGTCCGCCCACCCGCCCCTCAGCCCAGCACCTGTCAGGGGCGCAGGAGCGGGCGAGAGCCCAGCCATGGCAGCCCCCAGGATTTTCTGGGTGGCCTCAGGCAGCTGGCAGCAGCCGCCGGGGCTCCCGGAGCCCCCCCGGGAGAACGGGACCCTGCGCCCGGCTGCGCCGGCCTCTGCAGCCGGCCCCCGGCTGTGCGGGCGCTCGGTCACTTTCAGCCGGGCCAGCACGCAAACGCTGCTGCCTTGAGCGCTCCAGGGACACACCGGCCATTGTCTGAGACAGGGTGAGAGACACCAGAGCGGGGAGGCGGCCAGCGGGGCGCGGTCCCAGGCCTGGGAACACTCAGCAGGGCTCCCGTGGCCACGGCTGCCGGCCCTGCCCCCTCCCGCCCAGGGCAAGGCCAGGTCGGGCGGGGAGCCCAGAGCGATCAGCCTGCGTGTGGGGTGAGGGGCAGCGGCGGTGGGTGTCGCCTGCGGTGGCTGGAAGGGTCTGCCGCGGAGGGCGCGGGCAGCCTGGGAGCCGGACAGGCCGAGGCAGGCGCGGCCCCGGGTGAGGCTGAGGAGCCCAGAGGAGCCGTGCGCCCCGGCCCCGGCCCCCACTCCTTCAGGGGCCTGGGAAACACTTTCCTTTCTTTTTAAACCAAAAGAAAAAAGTATACTTTCAGGTCCAAACCAGGAATTTTCTCTGCCACATTCCCACATTCATCTCCGCGCCAAGGCATCCCTGAAGCAAAAGGTCCCCTGTGTTTCTATGGAGGAAGGGTCGCCGGCAGTGAGGGTGTGGCCGGGGCACTGGGGGCCCTCACGGTGGCCCCCCTCCCGGACACCCCGGGCAGGAGCCCAGCGAGTCTCGCCCGGGGCCACAGGCGGGCTTGTGCTGTCTGACTCTCACCCAGCCCCCTCACGGCACTGGAGGTGTGTGTCCCCGGGGCGAGAGCCAGCGGACCCACAGGCAGCAGGGGGCAGGTCGCTTCCTGCCGGGGGTTCGGCTCTGCGCAGGGAAGGCCACCTAACCTCGCGGAAGAATCCCACACTGCCCCAAATTGCCCTGTTGACGCTCCCCCGACCCAGCGTGACAGTGCTAGGGGACAGGGTTAGATCAGGTGACAAGGGAGGCCAGGCCTTCTGAGGGGCAGTGAGGAGGCAGCGACCTGCAAGCCAGGATGAGAGAGCCCTCGTGGGGAACGGGGCCTGTGGACGCCGTGACCTCGAACCCTGGCCTCAGAGCCCCGACGGGGACGTGTTTGCCATCTGAGCCGCTCTGGGTGGTATCGACAGTGGCAGCCCCCGAGCCTGACATTTAGCTGCACGTCCCCTGCAGGGGCTGGACGCTGAGGGCTTAGTGCTTCTGCAGCGTCTCTGGCTGAGAACCAGGGTTTGCGCTCGGCTCAGAGCGCAAATGTCAGGGATCCTCCTGGGCGGAGGATCCGGTCCTGAGCAGCTGCGGTCCCGGGGTGAGGGGCGGGGCCCGGCTGCTGCTTCCAGGGCCTCCTTGGGGTCTGGGCTGACAACGTGCGAGGTGGGGGGAGGGGTGCGGGGGAGGGCTGAGCGTCTGAGCCCGCCACCACACTGCTGCCTTAGGTGGCTTCCTGGGCAGGGACAGTGGGCCATGCAAACAGAGCCGCAGCGTGTTTCCTTGGACCCGCTCTGAGGCACTCTCCGGGCGACACCCGGCCCCGGTCCTGCCCACCCCCATGCTGGGCCCTCCGGGCACTGCACGAGCTATCACTCTGGGCAGAGCTGGTCCCTGTCGCCCATTCTCAAATAGAATCAATAAAGCGTTCCTTCCGCACAGGCGGTTGATTGACCCTCCGCTCGCGCAGAATGGTAGGCGGAGGCTTCCTTTGGAGCAATGGCCTTCCTCGAAACCAGCCCCCAGGGGCTTTTGACCTCCTGCCCCCACAGTCACTAGCTCCCGGAGCAGGGTCTCGGGCAGGGACCGAGCTGGAGGGCGCGGGGACAGCCGCTCACCGCCCTCGTGGCCCGCAGACCAGGGTTGCAACCCTTATACCTGTGCAGCTTTAGTCTGACCCCCTGACCTCTCTGGGCTGCAGCTGCCTGGCTGTAAACTAGAGACAAAAGGGTTTCTGATCAACGGGACGGTTGGGCTCAGGGGGCATAAGGCATGTGTTGCACATGGGCCACCCGGCCAACTAGCCACAGCCCTCCGACCACCTCCAGCCACTGACCCCAGGCATGATGACCCTCTCCACATCCTTCATGATCTCCTCGAATGTGTCTGGCTCCTGGGGGGCGCAGCTGGGGAGCAGGGGGCGCAGGTAGCCGGGCTCCACGTTGGGGTAGACTCGGCGCCCCTCGAGGCCTTCTAGGTAGTCAGCTATGTAGTCCACCATCTCTCGCCCTCTCCTCCTGAACTCGCTGGACTCCATGGCAGTGGGACTTCCGCAGAGCAGGGAACTGCACATAGACAGGGAAGAGACCGGTCAGCCCTGGTGAAGCCTGGCACCGGCCTGGGTGCCTCCTGGCAAGTGGACAGCTGGGGCCCCTGGGTGGAGTCCTGGAGGCCCCGGGGACTGCCCAGTGCCAGCGTGCCAGCCCGGGAGCACTTCCTCCCGAGTCTCCGCCACAGGAAGCGGCCCTGGACCCAGAGGCTATCAACGTTAGAATTGTCCAAACCTGTCAAAATTTTGTATGAGTTTGTTTGAGCCAAATCGATAACATTTGCCAGGAAGAAAACCTCAACGGGTTAAGAAAATCCTCCGGGAAAGAGCGGTGGGGCACTTTCTTTTACACCTTACAGTCGAAGGGGGGAGGGGACAGGAGTGACAGATGCAGGAGGCGGGAGAGAGCGACAGGGCAAAGCTCTGGGGCCACATCAGGGGTCAGCTGGTGGGCGCATCCTTCTGTTACACGGCCGGTGCAGGAGAGCGAAGCACGGAGTCACACGGCGCCCAGGACGCGAGGGCCCCTGCGGGCCCTGCTCCGGCGCGGCGGCTGCGCTTCCCGCGGCCCAGAGACAAGGAAGCTGCCCTGGCAGGTCGAAGGCGAGCCCTCTGGCCGTCATCGTCAATTCAGAAGGACCCCAGGCAGGCTCAGCCACGGTGGAGACGGCCTTCTCTGAGGGAAGATCCCAGCCCAGACACCGCCGCTGCCGTGGCCCTGCTTTCGGTGGAGAAGTTGTCCTTCCAGGCCGCCCTGCGCGGTTCCTTCCGGCCCTGGAGCGTGTGAGGCGCCTCACAGGCCTCCCCTGAGCCTGCTGGGTTCAGTCTGTGGCCCCGTCCTGTCCATTGGACTGTGGCAAATGCTCCGCACCCCCACGAGTCCCCCGGGGACGATGCTCCGTCTTGACCTTCCACTGTCCCCGCGGGTGACACGGGCTCGCGTTCACCACCGTGGGCCCGCCCCACCGGAGTGGCAGCCATTGGCTCCTTACCAGGTACTGGACGGGGGCAGGTGAGTCCCTCCTCAGAGCCCTCCCCCCCCTGAGAATGCAGCCACAGAGCTGTTCTCGCGGAGAGGGAGAGGCTCGGGCTCAGCATGGGCAGCCCTCGGCCAAGCCCCGTCTTTCCAGAGGGTCTCTCGCTCTCTCTGTGGACGATGCGGTGCAAACTACTATCACCCTAAGGAACACGTGGTTCTAGAAATCCTAAGTTATTTAAAAAGCAATACCATTCCAAGATCGGTTCTTCGCACGCCATGACCAACTCACATGGCGGAGAAGTCGGCCCGCCCTCACCCAGGCCCGCCCCCGCAAGGGAGGGGGGCGGGGAATTTGATGTTGAAGCTTTTTGAAATTTTTGAAAATTTGCTACCGCCTCTATCTTAAAAAAATAAAATAAAGAACTGAAAGTCATTTCTTGAAGGGATAAAAAGTCACAGATGAGAAGTTCATTTGGAAAATAACAGTGAAGGCAGCAGAGGCTCCCGAATGGCATTTGTGTATTGAAAGCAGTGAAATAAATAAATTAATAAATTTTTACAAATGAAAAGGGCTCTAGTGGAAGGCATTTAATTCCCCAGACCAACACCGCACAACCAGTGCCTCCCGGTCGCCCCGCTGGGCGCAGAGCCTCAGAGGGACAAGACTCAGTTGCGTCAAGTTCCCCAAGGAAGCTGACTTCGGGGCGGAAGGGGCGTGGGGGAGGGAACAGCATCGGGGCTCCAGGAGGCCCTGTCCTCTGGGCTGTCCCCAGACGCAAACCCGCCACCACATTCAGCCTGCTTTCCGGAAAGAGCACCCCGTCCTCGCTGTGGCAGCCGCAAGCAGACGACCCGGGTCACCTCTGGCTCTGGGGTCCCCATGTGGCCCTCGAGCAGGGAGTTAGCAAACACGGCCCGCTGCCCGTGGGAGGATGGGGGGCTGGTCCCCACAAGCCTGTGCTAATGGCTTTAAGAGCTAATCGATACCTGCCCTTGCCAAGGTGATTCTTCGTAGCCACACATTATTTACTATGCGCTGATTCGTTCACTTGGAGCCCGTGCCCGAGGGAGCACCGCCGCGCAGGTTCTGCAGGCCCATGCTTGCGGGTCCGAGACAGCATTCAGCCCACGTTTTCGCGTCACTTTAAACAGGGACATCACCAAGAGTAACACCCACGTGGGAACCACTTGCCGGACACACCACTTGCAGAAGCCACACCGCGGAGGCCGCCTGGCGGGGCGCCTCCCAGTTCTCAACCCATCGACCACGCGTGTGTGCACGCACGCCCACACCAGCACCTCCTGTGTGGACTTGAGGGCCGTGCGGAGATGTTGGCAGGTGGGCAAATGCGCATCTGGGGAGCCGGCAGGCAGTAACCGTCGCCTGCTTTCAAAACAGGCAACTTGAATACTACCAAGAAAACCATTCACCTAGCACAGCAATTTCCGACACGTGGACTTCCACACTGTTTTCTTCACGTGAAAGAGACAATTGTGTGCTAAGCAAGGGATGCGCTTCTGAACTCCTGCCACAGGTCCAAGCTTCCTAAATTTGAGACTGACTTTGCCAGCGGGGGGTGGCGGGGGGGCGGGGCGGGGGACACGGGATGACGATCCTGCACACACTCAGGAAGAAACAGGGCAGCGAGACCCTTGATAGCATATTCTCAGCATCGCTCTCTACTGTCTGTGCTGGTTAATTTTCTTTGCGGGGGGGGGGCGAGTTTTATGAGGTTAAAGGTGTTAAAGAGAAATTATTCACAGGACACTTGCTCATCACAGCAGCACAGATTTCATGCCAGGCTACGGGGGCGGGGGGGGGTCGGGGGGCAGCAGACAGTGAAGGGAACGCTTTGGGTTCTTCGAGGCCCACTATTCTGCCAACGTCTTGGGTACATTTTCCATCTGGCGAATGCAGATGACAGCAGTTAGGAGTGACAACAACTAGGGTGCAAGCTAAGAGTCTGAATCAGGGCCGCGGTGAACGAGAAAGTAGCAGCTTGGGTCTGACGTTCCGCTGCCCGTTAGTGTCTCAGGAGCCGGGGCACAGGAGGGTCCTGCTCCTCGGCCCCGCCTTTCCCGGAAGTTCCTGCGCCTCGGCCCCGCCTTTCCCGGAAGTTCCTGCGCCTCAGCCCTGGCTTCCCCAAGCATCTCAGGGCAAAGCCGTGGGGATGTGTAGCTTCCTGTTTATAAGCCCCTGGGCCCGCAGGCTTCAAAGTTAACGTTTCACTTGGAGTGACTCTGATCATTTCGGATTTTGTGTCCTGAGCGAATTCAACCGAAACTCTATCCCGCTGCAGGCGCGCTGGCCAGGTGGCTTTTCTCACCGGGCCACGGTGGCGAAACACCTCCCCGTCCCCCGATTTCTCAGGATGGTGCGGCGTCACCCAGTCTGAGTGCGCTGCAGTCGGAGGGGGACATCTGCTGAGAACGCTTGGTCCCTGTGAGCGTTTCCCCGCGGTCGGCGGGAGAGCTGGTGGAGCTGCGCGGCCGGGACTTGGGATGGGGGGCCGGAGGCTCTGACCTGAGTGTTCGCTGGCAGCCCGGCCTGGAGTCATTCCCAAAACATCTGCTGAAACAACTCCTGGTAACAGGGCGGCCTCAACAACTAGATAAGGTCACGGGAACTGCCTAGAGCAGAGGCACAAGGTGCTCATTCCATATGTTAGTTACTGGCCTTTCTGCAAGGCGCTGAGATGGACGACCTCACGTCAACATTTCCAAACGCTGCTGTGCATTAGAAATGTGTAAAAGAGCATTTATCTTATGATGTCTTTAGAACACGTCTCTCTAGAGACACACATTTTTGTGTCTTAAAATTAGATGGCTAAATTTCTCAACACTTTTTTTTCAACCAAAGTACTGTCCTGGGGGGAGGCTAAGACCGTCGTTTTGCGGTGCCGTCGTGAATGCTGGGCTCGTGCTTCCTTTTAGGGTTTGCCATGGCAGGCATTCCTGATCGCGTTCCGCTTTGATTGATTCTTTCGGCCGTTTCCCACACTCTGGGTCGTTGGGAGGCCTCCGTAAACTGCTTGTGCACTGAATCCTTTACCACTATTTAGCTTTCATTGCAGAATAGAACACCTTCACGCTCCGTCTGTGATACATGGTACAGACAGTGCCTTCAGTTTTTGTTTGCCCGAACCTTGCTTATTATTTGAGTCCGACCTGCCAGGATTTCCACGAATGTGTACTCTTGTCTCATGATCTTACCCTTGGCAACTGGCACCTTGTGAGCCATTGTTGACAATGCCTTTAAACGCCCAAGCAGCCTCTCTTTGCCTGACCGAGGGGCGGCCTGTGCCACGCACAGGGGAGGCCAAGTGTGGGGCTGTGCGAGGTTCAGAAAGATGCCTGGCTCTCGGAACATCAGCCGCCTCCAGAGAAAACAGACACACACTCCCTACCCAACCCCCCCACCACCCTGCCACACAAGATCCCAGTCAGATGCAAAGATAAGCCCTGGTTATTATTTTGAGAATCACGGTCATTTGTTTGCTGGTTATAGTCCACAAAGACCTTCCTGGGAGGCTCTCTGTGCCGACCGCAAAGCGTCTCGCATTCGTGTTGTACTTGTTTGGCTTTCTTGCCCCAACACAGGCAGAGCTGGCTGGGAGGCAGAGACCCGGACAGAGGCCGCAGTGCTGCCTCCCCAGGCCCCAGAGCAGCCGCTGCTGGCACCCCTGATGGGACACCGGGCAGCAGCCGGGCCCCCGCACTGCGCAAGCAGCCCCTGCCCACGCTGCACAGGGTGAGCCGGCTGCGTCCCTGGGCGTCTGGCCCAGCGTCTGGTCTCATCAGGAGCCCCCACGCCCGTTTAGAGGAGGCCGAGGGGAGCCACAGAGAGTTTCAAGGACGTGCCACTGTGTGCTTAGGGAGTGGCCACTTGTGGGCTTGCTTTAATCCCTGCCCGAGGCTGTTTACTGATTTTAGAAAAAGAGAAAGGGGGTTGAGAGAGAGAGGGAGAGATCGACTGGCTGCCTCCCTTGCCTGCCCTGACCGGGGACTGAGCCCACGACCTCTCGGTGCAGGGGGCGGTGCTCCCACCAGCCGGGACACCTGGCCGGGGCCCGTGGGCTCGCTGTGTGTGTTCACATGCTTGCTGGTCGAAGACGGAAGCGCTACGGGCAGTGATACGGAGCTTCTACAGAGCTCGGTGTCAGCTAGAGTCTGGAGAGTTAGAAAAGCACTTCATGGAATTTTTTTGGGGGGGGGGCACTGTAACAGACAGTCACCCTTATCATTAGAAGGCTCTCCGTGCCAGCAACTTCCTCACGGCTCAGCGGGGAGCGTGAGGCCCGCAGACCCAGGGGGACCCTGCCCCCACACCAAACATGCCCCTTGAGAGGACAGCTGATGCGGGGATGTCGCCGGGGAGGCACCAGGCCCGGAGCGACATCTCTGAGCTCTATGGACACGGGGAGACAAGGCCTCCTGGTCCCGGGGCAAACTCACTGTTTGAGTCTTAGATTGGGGTTCATTTTTCCTGGAACAGTGTAGAAGGGACGCAAAGGCTTTCCTCTTGTCAAGGGAGAAAAGGGAAGATGGCCGCCGGCCGCCAGCTGCCGGGTCAGGGCCGACTTGGGCGTCCGGCGAGCAGACACTGGCGCGAGGTCAGGCCGAGGCACAAGTGCTTCTTTGTCCTTGAGGCTGGGGGCCCCGCTTGAGCTTCTGCTCATTAGGCCGGGGACCTCACACCACCTTGATTTTTAAACCTTGCCTTTACCACACTCTTCCTCTCCTGCAATTTCGGGTAAATCAAGACGCTCTTTAGGAAATAGGGGTTTTCGGGTGGGCTTAGACAAGGGTGAACACTTATGTGAACTTCCATGCGCCAAGTGCTGGGTCAAGTCGGGCCTGTGTTCTGTTATTTGACCTGTGTGATAACCCTGCCTGGAACGTTCCCTTCTCTCGCCGCTGAGGAGATTGACACAGAGACAGAACTACCTGACCATGGGCACACGGTCCACCGGGCAGTTCAGAGTACCCTGTGCTCTGACCGTTGACCCGGCCCCAATGCCCTGGACCCTAGCAAAGGCACAGGGCACGACCAGCGGGCTTGGCCAGAGTACAGGCCGACACGCTGTGAGAACACCTTGAGGTGAGATACTCGGGCACCCAGGGTCTGGAGCAGCCGTCCCGGGGGCTCCCGCGGCGCCACCCGCGCTTCCACCAGGTCCCGCTCCGACAGACAGGGGCGCGTGGCCTCGGCCAGCTCTCGCGGGGGCCTGTCCAGGTGGGGGCGCCGACCTCCCTGAGCCTCCAGTTCCAGCCTGTGCAATGGCCACTGCACCAAGCAGCACAGGGAACCCTCACCAGGGCCCAGGGGCCTTTGTCTGTGGGGCGCCCAGCATGAGGTGCTCTGTCCCCACTCCAAGTCAGACCAGCGCCAAGGCTGCCGTCCCGGAGGGAGGCCCCACAAAGGCCCCGGCCTGCAGCCTGCGGTCGGGCCGGCCTGCTCTGGACCCGAGGCCCCCGCCATGCCTGCAGTGCCCTGGGGACTGTCATCCAGCAGGACCGCGTCCTTAGTCTCAGCTCCCCAGGTGCCAAGGCTGGGCCTGGGGTCAGAGTAAATTGGTTGCGCTCTGCATCTGCTGGGAGAGGGGATCTGGTGGTCAGCCGGCACCGTGGCCACTCCCAGCCTCCACCTGTGCCCTCGAAAATGGGCAGCAGATGCGGCAGCAGCAGGCCCGCTTGACCGTGGCGCCGTCTGGGTCTGGAGGTCACTATTATGTCTGGAAAGAGCGAGGCGGCCGCCACTGCTCAGCGGCCGGGGTCCCTGGAAGGGGCCAGACGTCAGGGGCGCGTGACAGACACGACGCAGACCCGACTTTGGGGGAAGCCCGGCCCCTCCGGCCACAGAGGACAAGGCGCTGGTTGTCCCTCGTCCCCACATCACGCACAGCCTTGGCTGAGCCCTTCATTGGCCGGCCGACAGCTCCGTGCGGACGGGGCCATGAGGGAAGTGACGCTGCGCCTTCCACTGTAACAGAGTGACATAGTCTCCCACGGGAACCACCGCTGTTTCCACTTGCGTCCCCGTCGCTGACTGTGGGGTCACGGGACGCTGGCGGAGAAGCACCTCACGTAAGCAACGTGGCAAGAACCACAGCGTCAGGAACATGAAACTTGCTGCTGCCGACCTGACCGGCTCCTGCTTTCACAGTTCACACGGCCGTTGCCGCAGGGTGTGTGTGGCTTGGGGTCCTCTTTGGCTTACCCCCCACGGGCCTGGTTCCTATATCCACAAGGACGTTCACGCACTGAACGTGCAGAGCGGGGTCACCCGGGAGGCTGTGGTGAGCAGCGTGGCTGTGAGGAGCCGGCGCGGCCGTACCTCCGTGCTGCGAGCGCCCCTCGGAGGTGCCAGCTCCCCAGGGGAACAAAGCCGTGTGTGCTGCTCAGTCATTTGCGTGTTGCCCAGTTTCTTCCCACAAAAACGTGAGTGACAGGAAAACGCCAGCCCTCTCGGGCAAGGTGAACCCGAACACTCCGCCCCCGTGAGCGCTTACCCTTCATCGTGTTAGGCATGTCGATGAAACTGAAATCTTAATTACCTTGGATACATTGAGGATTAATTTAAAGCGACTCAAATGGTGCCCTTTTCTTTTGCCCTGGCTATTCGGACATGTTTGCGTGGAAACCACCTGGCAGCCTTGGCTCCAGCCTCCCTCTCCAGTCTCTGTTCTGTGTCAGCGCGACCCCGGGGGCCCTTTCGCTGAGATGGGAAACTTTCCTTCTCCCCAGTGGTTTTCCCCTTGACTCCTGCCCCCTCTTCCTCCTTCTCTTGACATCATGTGAACCGCCCACAGAAGGCCATCGCCACCTGTCTTTGCTGTGGACCGGAGGCTGTAACTATGTGTCGCGGTCGGCTGCACCTTTTCTGCAGGGACGCCTGCTGCGGAGAGGCCGGGAGCTGGGTCCTGCACACTCTTTGGGAGTGGCTGCATTTTGCACAGCTCAGTTCAGTGGGAAATGCTGGCTCCTGGACTCAGGGTGACTCTCCCCCACCCCTTGGGCACGGGCTGGCCCGTCACCTTGTGGCTCCCCGTGTCAAATCCTGACACCACACAGGCCCTTGGTTGCAACATCCTGTGGCCTAGAAACTGAACAACCCAGTGTTGCCCAACCGGACACGCTCACGCGGGTTGTATCTCAGCCACGCCCACCACGGGCTGCCCGCTGCCCACTCAGGCTCAGTGGGCCGACCCCGCCACACAGCCAGGCCCCGGCGCAGAGCTGCCGGCAGTTCCATCCCAGCGGGCAGCCGCCTGGACTGCCTGCCACCCATGTCCTCACCTGGCCTGAGAACTCAGAGCCCACAGACCCCAGAGGGGCTCCGGTTGGGGCCGGGGCGGCATGGCTGGCCACTGAGGGTGTGGCTGGGGCCTTGCCCCTTCACCACACGCAGGAAGGGCTCTGCGGGAGCGCTGACCGCGACGGAAATGGGGGAAGCAGAGGCTGACCAGCACTGTGGTCCTCGGTGCCCGGGAGAAGCCCCCTGCGCCCGGGGCTGGACAAACGCTGAGACGTCACTGCCCACCTTACTACGCACAGCAGCTCTGCGAAGCAGCAGGGTGAGCCCGCTTGGGGGGCATGGTGGCGGGCACAGCGGGCAGGGGCTGAGCCAGACTGCAGGGTTCATGCCGGCCTCGCAGGGGGCTCTGGGACCCCGCGCCTCCAGTTTGGTTCCCTCTGGTCAGAGTCCCATGCCCGCTGCTTCCAGTACCCAGCCCCCACAGAGAACATGGGGGGACGTGAGCCGCTCCTCCGAGCCTGGGCCCACCCCGCGGACCCTCCTCCAGGGACGCCCACCGCGAGCCCCCGCATGCAGAGGCTTCCAGCCGCTCTCCTAAAATATTGCGGGAGCCGCATTTCCCCAGAGCCCTCACCTGGACCCCAGACGCAGAGGCGGTGCCAAGGGGATAGGGCCACCCTCCATGGAAGTCCTCCTGAAGAGGGGCCGCACCTCCCGGCAGGGCCTCGAATCGGGCAGAGTCAGGGGTTTGTTTCAGTCATTTCGTCCCGCCTGGCTTTGCCCGGAGACGGAAAGCAAGGGGCAGCACGATTCTGTCTCTTTCAAAACCATGCGGGTGCGCCCCGCCTTGCCTAGGTGCGACTCGTTCCAGGACGCCCGCCGACCCTGGGGGGACCTGGCGGGCTGTCCCCACGCAGAGAGCGTCTGCTGCTCTGGCACCCTGGAAACCCGCGGAGAGCCCCCTTTTGAGCTGCCGCGGTCCCCTTGGCGCGTGTTCTGTTTCAGAGGGAAACATGTCCGAAGGGTACGTCACACTGACTGTAAGGAACCCGGCTCTTGGGGTGTTTCAGAGAGAAAGAGGGTGTAGGGAAACCCCAGGCCGGCAGCTCGGATTCCCCAGGAGATGGAGGAAACAGTGAATCCCGGGCAGCGGGGCCACCAAGCAGCCCCCAGCCCCCCACTCCCTGACCTCTGCAAAGATCAGCCCCGGTCCAACCTGCGCCTTGCGGGAGGCCGCCCTGGGCTCCCCCTGCTCCCCGAGGAGGGCTGGGGTGTGGGCGGCCGGGCCATACACCGCACGCGCGGCCGTCCCCTCCAGCCCGCCCCGGGCCCCTGCCTCCCGTCACCCCCAGGAAGCGGCCGGAGAGCAGCACCCACTCACTCCTTATGTCTTCCTGGGGTTCAGAGTGCGCGGGCTCAACAGCACCCCACCTTCCTGCCTCTACCCTACGTGTCAGGGAGACGGGTCGTTCAAAAGCGGGTGACTTGGGGGCATGCCTGTTTTCCCCAAGAGTTCCTGTAGCCTCCCCATTGTCATGGAAACCACCCCAGCTGCAATCAACAGGCGAGCCTCCCTCCGCCCTCACACCTGGGGGCAGAACCTGGGCGCTGGATCCCCCAGTCAGGTCCCCAGGCTGCAGGGGTAAACAGCGGCACTCACGGACAGCCCGGGCTGGCTGGCTGGCTGTGTCCTCCCTCCCTCCTCTCCTCGGTGACAGCTAAAAGGCACAGAGGCTGTGAGTCTGTGATTGCCATCTGTGCAGACAGGGTCCACAGCCCAGAGCCAATCAGAGCGGCGGTGTGTCTGCTTGCTTATTGTCAGCATCTCTCGGCTGCCTCCTGCCCCCCTCCCAGGGCGTGAGGGCCCAGGCGGGGCAGGCGGGGCCAAGGGGGCAGCAGAGCCCGCAGACGCTGCGGGGCGGAGGCCAAGGGAAAGGGGTTCTGGGCTCCCGGCTCACCGGGCAGAGCCCAGACTGGCCTGGTCTCCCAGAGACTCTGGGCAGTCTCGGAGCAAGCCCAGCTCCCGGGCGCTGCTCCAGGGGTGACAAAGGGCCAGCTGGGCACGGGACGCCAGGAGCGCCCGCTTTGTGCCAGTGCTGGGCCACACGCGGGCCACACGCTGGGCCTGCTCCCCTCCCCTCCCCCCGGGCGCTGCTGGGACCCTGGCCAGGAGGGACGGAGGCGAAGTGCGCCTGCTTCCCCTGCTCTCGCTCCAGCCCAGGCCCATCCGACTCAGTGCCGCTCCTTCGCCCCGGAAGCTACCAGCGTTCAGAACGCAGTTCCCTCAAAGGGTGGGCGGCCTTCCTCCCCTCCACCCTCCAGGCAGGCAGGCCGGTGCAGGAGGGCAGAGCCCCCCTCCCTTCCAAGGCAAGCCCTGCGCACCTGCGCAGAGGGCCCAGGGAGAGCCCCCTCAGGACACGGAGCGCACACGAGGCTCAGTGGGCTTGGCAGGCCTCACTTGCCTCGTGCTGGCACTGCCCGGCCTCCCCACCGGGCAGGGGAGCTGCCTGGTCACCAAAGAATGACCAGAAGAGGGAAATCCACAGCGGCCAGCGTGCCCAGTGCAGCAGCACAGCCCAGGGCAGGGGTGGCGGCGGGGCCACAGCCCGGTGGGGGGGGGGTCGTGCTCCGAGGCAATGGCCGGCCCTGGCAAGTGCCTGTGCGTGAAAATCGCCACAGCCTCCTCTCAGGGAGCAGATGGGGATGGGGCGGGCAAGACTGGGGGGCAGCGGACGGTTCTAAGGGCTGTGGGCGAGGTAGTGACAAAGATGCGGGACGGCGGGGGGCGGCGATCGAGGCAGGCTCCCCACAAGAACCTGTCCTCGCGCTGCTGGGTGGGGGCGGGCCGCCGCCGCCGCTGTGCGATGCAGCCGCGGCTCAGGGCCCGGCTGGGCTGCAGGGCGGAGCCGAAGCCAAGGTGCGCAGGACTCACGTGAGGAGGAAACGTGCAAAGCAGGGCAGGTGTTACCATAAAAAAAAGAAACACCTGCTGGTGGGCAGGAACCCGCGACATTGTGCCTGTTGCCCTTTGCCTCACACTGGTGCGTGGGTGCCACGTGGTCACCAAAATCTCAACACGGGCACTTGACTCTAAAATAAATATAAATGGAAAAGCAAAAGTCTCAAGAACACATGCCAGGGATCTTACTCCACACTTGCCAAGGCAGATGAAGTTGTAAAAATGTAATGTTTTTTAAGATTTTATTTATTTATTAAGATTTTATTTATTTTTAGACAGAGGGAAGGGAAGAGAGGGAGGAGAAACATCCCTGTGTGGCTGCCTCTCGTGCGCCCCCTGCTGGGGACCTGGCCTGCAACCCAGGCCTGCGTCGTGACTGGGAATGAAACCGGTGACCTTTGGGTTCGCAGGTCGGAGCTCAATCCACGGAGCCACACCAGCCAGGGCCAAATGTACTGCTTTTGATGCGAGGACACATGCTTGACATGCTCTATTCTGGAACAGAATAGAGAGCCCAGGGGGAAAAAAATCCCACAAAGAAAGGAAAACTAGCACACGTGGAATAGCATCAAGAAAGGAAGGTGGACTAGTAGATGCTGTTGGGACAACTGGTCAGCACTTGGGGAAAAGGGCATTGAGCCAGTCCTTCATTCTGGTGGATTAAATCTTAACTGAAAGGCAGATATTTCATGACAGCAGGAGACCGTGCAGGCACCGCCCGGGAGGGTGACGGCTCCTTACACGGTCCGTTTAACCGGGCGACCCCGGGGGCCAGCCACTCCGCCAGCTTCACTGTTGGAATCTCTGTCCTTCCCGCCACATAAACTCGAAAGACAACGGACAAAGCAGGGGACGCTATTTAAAAGGCACAGGCTAACGATGGGCTAGGTGGTGACATCAGAAGACCTTCTCAATAAGAAAAAGGCCTCTCGATACACATACAAGCAGAAAGGCACACGGAACGTCTCATAAATATGGGGCCAGAGATCAGGGAAGTATTAGCCTTTATTGATCGCCTCCCATATGCGAGATATTTTCCTGGTACCATGTGATGTGATCCTTACCCTATGACGAGCCCCCCATTTTCCAGAGGAATAAACAGCGGCGTGGGGGACCCAGCAGCGGCGCTACCCGGCCGGCCGCAGTGGAGAGTGGGAGACAGAAGCAGCCTGCGGGTCTGTCCCCTCTCGGCCGTCACTGCCGCACCCCCCTCGGCCGAGGGGCGGCCGCCAGGACTGTGCCTGCCAGGCCCCAGCGCCGCCCCAGGCTACGCTGCAGCCCTCAGGTGAAGGGACTGTTACGCAGAGGCTCTGCACTGTGAAGCGACAGGTCGAAGCATAGGTGCTGCCAGTGCTCGCCTGATCGCATTCCGAAGCAGAGACTTACCTGCGGGGACGTTCCTCACGGCCGAGGGCCTCCGGCTTCAGGGGCACAGGTGTGGTGGAAGCGGCCGGCAGGCTCTGCCCAGGGCGCCTCGGATCCACACGCTTCCCTGGCTGAGGGCCACCCGCAGGGCAGGCTAAGAAATGGCTTACGAGGCAGGTTGTTACGTTGCTATCAGTTTGTCATCAGGGAAGGGCCCGCAGTGGCCTCCGTGCAAAGTCCCCTCAAGCCCGGTCGGAGGGCTCGGGGCAGGCAAGCGGGCTCCCTGAAGCTGGCTTGCTGCCACCTCAGTAACACTGTGGCTCTCTGCTCGCCACACAGGCTGCTTCCTGTCTCGGCCACTGAGAGCCAAGGTCATTTTTGTAGCCTGCATCCCGAGGCCATGAGGACATGATTTCTTGATTACTCAGCTTATTCTTCTGCATGACACAGGCTTTGCTAAACTACCTCGGGCTTTTCCTGGAACAAGTGAGGTTTAGACGTTATTGGGGGGAGCGGAGCTCTGGTGGGGTGACGGCCCCTCCTGGTCCAGGCCCATGGGGACGACGGGAAGCAGAACAGCAGAGGCAGCGTGCGCCCGAGGGCAGAGGCCAGCCCTGCCGTGGGACAGGGTGGGGGCAGGGCAGACGGTCCGCCTCGGGGAGGGCGAGGGAGGCTGGGGCTGGCGCCATCGGGGCCACCGAGGGGCTCCCAGACAGAAGACCCTCCTGAAAACCAGTGAAGGGACAGCCTCCAGGGTCAACGGGGGGAGTCCCTGTGTGTGTGTTGGGGGGTAGGGCTGGCTGGTGACCACACCGTCTGCCTGCAGGGGAGCACGGGGCGGGGGTTGGGAGGCACAGCAGGCCCCCAGGTGACACCCTCTGGAAGCAGACACCCGGGATGGCCTCTCTCCTGGCCTTTCTGCCGCTTCCTTGTTTGACTACAAAACCCACGTTCCGGCAACTTTACCTGTCCCACTGCAGTAGGAAAAATGCCCCTGGACTTGTCCAATGTGCCCTTCCACGGGTTTCTTGAGGTGCGTGCTAGCCCCCCCGCACCCCCGAGGCCTGTGTCCCTATGCTGGGGCTGTGGGGGACGAGTGTGCCTGCGTGGGCCCCATCCCTCTCGGCTCGTGGCCCGCCAGGGCAGAAGGGCAGATCGTCAGCCTTCTCCTTCACTGCCAAGGTTCCCCTTTAAAAATACGTGTGTTGATTTTGCGGGGAGAGAGAGAGAAACAGGGGTCAGCTGCCTCCCGTTCACGCCCTGCCCTGGCCGTGACCACATGACCTAGGCCTGTGCCCCAACCGGGAATCAAACCACCAGTGGGAGGGCCGATGCCCCAGCCAATGGAGCCACCGGCCAGGGCCGGTTCAAGGGTTTCTAGCTGCAGACCAGCTGGAGGGTTTCAGGGTAAAGAAACAGACACCACAAGCAATAGAAAATGAAGAACACTGTATTAATGTTTATTTCAAATTACAAGAAACAGATTATCAGTCCCTTATTGGTACAAAAATACCTGAAAGTTCACGATTAGGTTCATGAGCCAAGGAGCTATGTACAGAGAGGAGCAAAGCACAGGGAAGGAAGTTTTGTCTCTTAGGTGAACAACGTCTGCATCGCCCGACATCGCGGCTGCGCCGGGCCCCTCCGCGGCCACTGTGCCGCGGTGCCACCATGCCCCGCCCCAGGCGAGTCCCGCCCCGGGAACGCGCGCCGATTGGTCAAACTGTCAGGGCTGAGGTGCAGAAAAAAGCAGACAAAACTTCTAGACTGAGGCACATATTTCTTCGAGGTGTAGCAAACAGAAAAGCGTCCTGGAAGTCTAACCCCTCAGGCACACAGCTCGCCCGGGAAACTGGCGTTTTCCTTCTCGATTTAGTCCAGGTTGCTACAAGTTGTTGTCGTTTAGACAGAGAATCACAGGCAGAGCTAAAAAGTCAACAGGCTCCAAAACGACCCTGAGCTGTCCCGTTTACATTCATATCATTTAAATACAAAAATAAAAGCCGCGTGTCCCTCAGCCCCCGCTGGCGGGTGGGCACCTGCCTCCTCTGGGGACTGGCTGCCGGCGGCCGGCCCTCCCCGGCCCCGGGCAGGGCAAGGCACGCGCTGTGCCACATCGACACTCGCCAACGACTCTCTGCGGCCAGGAAGGTACAAAAAGGCCACATCACACCAGCTACATACGAAACTGAGTCAGAGTAAAGCTTTTTGCTGCACTTTTAAATAAAATGCATGTTTATAAATATGAAATACTGCCAATGCTAGGTGTCTACAGGGCAGGGCGTGAGGGCGCCGCTCACTGGTGGGCGCTGCTCTATGTAAACAGAGGAGGAGGTCGCAGGCGTTTGTCGGTGGTGGTGGTGATGTTACGGCTTCACATCCGACCAGTGAAGAGAAGAATGTGTGTCACGAAGGGTCAGTCCCTTCAGTGAATTCGGGGCAGCTCGCCGCCAGGGACGATGACTTGAGACTCGCCTAATGGTCAATGGCTTGAAAGGTGAACTGGGTTCAACGGAAAAAAAAAAAAAGTAACTGAGCATCAACGGTTCGAAGCGTCTCGCTGAGGCCTCTTCATTGGTATAAGGAGACGGTTCGTGGAAAACAACCAGGACGCGCCTGTAGAGCAAGTACAGCGCGTCCACGCCAGGGGCCGCTCTCGGGGCGTGCCCCGAGGCCCGTCGGTCTGTCCGAGCTGTGTTTCCGGGGAGCCCTGCGGTGGGCGGGCAAGGCGCAGGCCGGCGGCGGCCTGCTCAGAGGGGCGCGTCAGGCGGCGCCGGGCGTCAGAACTGTCGCTTCGGACAGTGAAGTCACTTCCCCACAGCAGTCTGTGTGCTCACCAGAGACCGGAGACGCCAGCCGGCGCTCGCAGGCCTGGGAGCTCCGCCCCGGGGGACGGGCGGGCTCCGGAGCAGGAAGCAGTGACCTGCTGACACAGGCGTAGGGCCTGCGGCTGAGGCGAGGCAGGAGCCGGCGGGGGGAGCCTCCCGCCGGCTCCTGCGCTGGCCTCGGGGTGTCAGCAGGTGGGGGGATCATCACGCCCAGACTTCAAATTCCGGGCTCCCTTTCAATGTTTCCATCTTCATTGCCACGGAAACCCGCGGCTTCTGCACGACACCAGGCAGGTGACGTTTTCTGATTAGAGCCTTGAACTCCCGAGGGAGAACAGGCAGGGCGGGACGCACGGCCCGGCGGGGGCCAGGCAGCGGCCACTCCAGAGCAGGCTGCAGGCGCCCCCTGCGGCCGGGGGACGAGGGCCCCTGGCCTGTCTCCGGAAGGCTGCCTGTCTCCGGCCGGCGGCGTGGCCACTCGGCCCTGCTGGGCATGGGGCAGCGAGCGTCTGGGGGAGTCGAGGCTCCTGAACTGTGGAAGACGTGGCACCCTAAAAACATGGCACGGACGCCGGTGCCCAGAGAGGTGCCTGGCAGGCTGGGGCCACCTGACTGGTCCACAAAACGTGCCCAATGCCGGCTGCAGGCGACACCTTTTATTCAAAACCGCGGCTCAAGTGCCGGGGCAGGGCGAAGGCGCGGGTGACTTGGAAGCTGGGCCTGCCCGCGCCGGGGACTTGGAAGCTGGGCCTGCCCGCGCCGGGGACTTGGAAGCTGGGCCTGCCCGCGCCGGGGACTTGGAAGCTGGGCCTGCCCGCGGTGCCCCGCAGAGGGCGGGGCACCGCGGGCAGCCTCGGGGGGCCGCACTCGGTCTCTGCTGTCTGCCTGCTCAGATCCGTCTTTCCGTGCACACTGCAAAGCCACGCCCCTGCTACCAAAGGCTGAACAGGACATTGAGAGCAGAGGAGTGCAAAGAAGGGATCAATACAAAAAGTAAACATCTCAGTTTCAATTGTCAAGGCTATCGCAGGGCGAGAGGCCGCTCCCAAGCACTTCCCTCTGAGGGGCGCGCAGCCCTGCCAGGACAGCCGTCCCCGCTCGCTCTCTGACGCGCCCGCTCTGCCATGCCCTGCTCTGGCCGCGGAGGCCGCGGCAGCACATCACCGTGAAGTCCAAGAAACCCATCCACGGCAGTGGGTGGCACCGAAGGGACCGGTCACGCTCCCAAGACACAGAATCCACTGCGCTCTCAGCCCCACACAGGCCTCCCGGCCGCCCCAGGGGCGGCGCCGCCGGCCGCTGGCGGCGACGGCCCTGCAGTCACAAGGCAACGCGGACGCAGTGGTGCTTCAGCTTGCAGGGCAGGACCCCCTTGTTCAGCTGGTAGAAGTCGACAAGCTGAATCAGGTCGGAGAACTTGGTGTTCCCGTCGTCCAGGCTGAAGAACATCTGACCGTCGTCCTCGCACTGGAAGACACAAGGACACTGGCCGGTCAGGGGCCGCGCCCCCGCAGGCAGAGCTGGGCCAGGCGGCAGGAGCTCGGCCTGCCCGCGGTGCGGCTCCGGCAGGGCGTGCGTCGGGGCTGCAGGGCAGCCTAGGGGTCGCTGAGCAGGAGGCGGGGCGGCCCCGTCCCGGGGTGCGCCAGGCCTGGGGGCCCCCGACCCTGAGGCGGTCGTGGGGAAGGGCTCCAAGCACCCTCGCTAGCCCGCGACCCGGAGCGTTTGCTGGCCGCCTCCTGCAGCGTGACGCATGCAGTGTCCTGCCGCCGCCGTTCCAGGTGGCTGTGGCAGGGACCCCGCCTTTGGGCGTCTCCGGGCCCCGCTGGAAGGAGAGGAACTGTCCTGGGCCATGTGTGAAACACACAAACGCTAATGAAAACGGATGAGCAAAAAAGAGCCTTTAGGTAAATTTGCAATTTTCCGTGGGCCGCATCGGGCCGCGGGACGGAGGAAAGCACGCAGGGTCAGTGACTTCCCTGGTGCTGGGCTATCTGGGAGCTATTTTTATTAAATGGAGGAACTCCAGAGTATCTCCCAGGGAGAACTGCACACTTGACCCTTCAACACTGCGGCGGTGAGGGGCAGACACCGTGGAAAAGCCACGTGTAACTTTTTCTCCCCCCTGAACTTGACTACTAGTCAGTCAACACACATTCTGCATGCTGTGTATATCATACACTGTTTTCTTACAATAAAGTAATCTAGAGAGGATGTTAAGAAAATCTTAAGGGAATATATTTACAGTATTTATTGAAAAGAATCCACCTGTTAAGTGGACCCATAACTTCAAACCCATGCAGTTCAAGGGTCAACGGTGTAGCAAACATTAATTTTACCCCGACCCATTCCAAATCCCGTGACTGTGCCCCAGTGGGGGCTGCCAGGGTGCTCCACACGGGCCCTGGCGGGCAGGCGGCCATAGCCTCTGTCATCCAGTGAGCTCCGAGCCACTTCGTGTCACTCTCAAAGTGGCGGCCCACGCCTGTTTCCGAGCCCTGTGCTGCCACCTCCTCATGTTTCCGCTCACCGTCCCCGGTACTGATGGACGCGGGGTCGCTTGGGGAGTGGCATTACATGCTCTGCCTGCCCTGAACTATGTTTTCACTGTACTTCGCATTTTAGGCTAAACGCATAGCACCCGGGCCTACAGGTCAATGTGGGCGAAGGGTTGTGAGTGAAGCCTTTTGTTTCAAACAGCGACTCCTGGGTGTCACATACATTTTGTGGAATCCGGGCAGGGCTGGGCTCAGCCCTGGACTCTGTCCTGTCCTCCCCTGAGAAGTGGGGTGGCGGTAGCGGCGGGGGGCGGGGGGCGGGGCTGCCCGGCTCACCCCGCTCGCTCCCGCATCCTGTCCCTGCAGGACTCTCGGGACGGCTGGTCTGAGGTCCTGGGGTCACACCAGCTTGAGAACCGCCGGGTTCAAATGCGCGAGCCGGGCACACAGTGTCGGCCAGCCTCCTCGGAGCTCGCCCTGCTGGAGGGCAGGGCGGCGGGAGGGTCCCGCCGCAGCCGACGGCTGCTGTGAGCACGGACTCAGCGCCGGGGCACTTTGGCGTTCTTCTCTACCCCATACCCTGGTGGGACCGGAGATTCCAGGCGGCGTGACGACCGCCTCCTACGGAACACTTGAGTCGCGGCGCAGAGTCTGAGCTGCGGCTCAGCACACACAGGCCACCAGGGCTCGGGACAATGTGTGACCAGCGGTGTTCATGGCCACCTTCACTGATGGTGTTTCTGGAACTGCCCAAGGCTGGGCCCTGTGTTCTGACCTCAGGGCCACGTGGACGGAGCAGGCAGCGCCTCTGCGCGCCCCAGGCCCGGGCGCCCACTGCCCCCCTGCGTCGCCCGGGGCCACCCCGCGCCGAGCGGGCAGTCCCAGGTGCGCCTGGCCGCCGCAGAGCCCTCCGCCCCGCCGCCCGTGCCCCCTCCCTGGCTCCTTGTCCCAGCCTCGCCGCCGACCGGCCCCTGCTCTGCCGCGCGCAGCGGAGGGCTGGGCGGACGCGGGGCCTCCGCACAGGGCGCCCTTTCGGGGTCGGCGCTGGGGCAACATCGGCCCCTTTTCAAAGGAGCTGCTGGAAGCACCTCGCCTGCGAGGTTGGAACTGGCTGATAGTTCATGGTCTGACGTCTGCTCCGTTTACAGCCTGCGACTCCCCTCAGAGTGAAGCCCGATGTCGCCCCAGGAAATTCAATAAAAAAAGAAGAAAACCAGAAACAAGGAGAAAAAGAAAAGAAAAAAAAGAAGATTCGCATGACAATGTCGATACTTACAGGCAAGATCTGGAAATTCTTGATTTTCTGGTGGTGGCACAAGGTGAGGACAAACGCCTTCGGGTTGCTCTGGCTGTCGCGGAGCAGGAAGAGCCTGGGGGCGGAGACGGCGGCCGTCAGGGGGAGGACCCACGTCCCGCCCCCCCATGTGCAAACGCGGACACGGACACGCACGGACACGCACGCCCTGGCTCCGGCTGCCTGAACGGGCTTCCCATCGTGACGCCCCTCACGCCTGCGCAGCGGAGGGGCCTCCGGCGGCGGCGGCGGCGCCTTCCCCCCTGGACCTGGCCTCTGTGCGCCCACCCCCCCTGGGAGGAGCTCCCTGAAGACACCTGGGCTCCAGCTCAAGGGGGAGAGAGCAGGGAGGTTCTCCAGGGCGGCATCCCAGGGAGGCTGGGCCAAGTCTGGGCCCCAAAGGAGACGGTAGAAGGGACAGGACAGAAGCTACAGAGCAGCACAGGGGCCGGCGGGTCCAGGCGGGTGTCCCAATCCTCCTCCAGGCAGAGGGCAGGCCAGAAGCCGGCCTCTGCACCCACACGGACTCTGCCGACCCCGAGGGCGGTCCCCATGGGTGCAAACACCCGCAGGACAAGCTGGGTGGCACCATGTTTTCGGCCTCGAAGCAGCTACCCCTCACAGGCGTTACTATGAAGGGGAGAGCAGGAGTATCCAGCAGCGCGCCCCACCGACACGCCTTCACCACGCGCCCAAGGTGCCGCGGCCAGGAGGGGCCAGTCCGCCCTGGCTCCAGGGCGGCCCCGCGCACTCTGCCCCAGTGTGGCGCCTGCAGACTCGCCCGAGCCGAGGCCTGTTCTAGGGTAACTGGTTCCGACGCGGGCTGGTGTCCATGGGGGCCGGAGGGGCCCGAGGCGGCGCACTGGCCTGGGGGCGGGCTCCGGGCAGAGTGCAGTGGTCAGAGGATGGGGCAGCACACGCCAGGTGGTGAGCTCAACGCTCAGCAGGGGCCTGAGTGTGCACAGGTGCACATGCATGCGTGCAGCCACGTGTGTGCACTGCCCCCCCGCCCCCTCCTGCAGGGCTGCCCGGCCTCAGGCTCCGCTGCGGGGCTGGCCCGTCTCCCAGCACGCCCCCCGAAGCGCGAGGGCTGCTCTGCGGGAGACGGGGAGTCCCGGGGGCGTCGCCCGAGTGGCCCATTCTCTTCGCCTCTGGTTTGGCCAGGGCCCCAGCGGCTGGACGTCGGGGCTGAAAGCTGCAACCTTGGGGACCACAAAGGCCCGGCGGGGACCCGGGGCTGGCGCCCCCACCCTGCCTCCCCACCCCTGTGAGGCGGGGCGCCGGCCGCCGAGAAACTGCCCTGGGAGATGTCCAGACACAGTTGCGAGGCCAGGAGGGGAGTTGGCACACGCGTGCGGGGACCGAGGGCGCTGCCCCCGCCTCAGGGCCCCGCTGGGGCGCGGTGACAGGGCCGCTGGGCCTGAGCCCAGGGTCCCCGGGGAAGCGCGTACCAAACACACACATCCCCACTGGCTCTGAGAGGCCACCGCTCTCAGGGACGCAGAGGCCATGCTCACTGGGACGCCTGGGGCCTCTAGTGGCCACAGCACCGAATCGCGGCTCCTGGAACCCTCGCTTCTCCTCAGGCTGACGTCACCGGGCAAGAAGGCCCTTCAGGGTCCTCGGGCCGCCTTGGGAACAGAGGCCCTGGGCTCAGCCCTGACGGAGACCGGGGCCACCACCGGCAGGGCCAGCGTGGGCTGGGCGCCCTGGGGACATGCACCGTCTGTGAGAGGGACGGCTGCGGGGCTGGGCAGCCCTCTGCCCGCAGGCCAGGGACCGCAGGGCAGGGCCCCGGCCGGCGGTCAGGGGGCGTCGCCTTCAGCGCTTTAGGGTGAGCTGCTCTGTGACAAAGGCGACATCACAAACAAGCAGCTTTGGACGAGCTGTGGAGCCACCAGAGAAAGAAAATGAAACGAGATCCGTTCTTTACACAGCCCACCAGGGTAAATCAGTGCTGACTGACAGACAGACAGAGGGGACAATAAAGCGGGGGGCGGGGGGGGGGGGGCGGGGAGGAAAGGGAAAGAAGAAACAACGCAAGTTCTAGAAGACAACACAAAGGAACCCCTTTGTGATTTATGAGTGGGAATAACCCAACTGTGAAACAAGGCAGCCGAGAGTCTAGAAGGATACGGGTCAGAAATGACGGATGTGGCCGTGGAAAGACATCTGTATAACCCCAAACCACCACCACCACCACCCCACTCCGAAATATAAGCAAAGCTAAATAGACACGACTGCTTCCCTCGGAGCTCAGAGAGGCCGAGGGTCAAGTGTCGCTCTCGGGACCCCTGGGAGGCCCGCGAGGGAAGCCTGGCCGCACGGCACGGCCCTTGCCCTCCCGCTCAGCCCTCCTGCTTCTGGGGCCTCGCCGGCAAAGACACCAGCGAGAGTGGGACGCGAGGGAGCCCGTGGCAGCCGGGGGGGGGGGCTTCCCGCTTCGAGCAGCGGTGTGTGGCGGGCGGCGGGGCGGGGGGGGGGGCGCTGGTTTCACAGTGAGGGAGGGGCAGGACAGGGAAGCCTGCGAGCTTCGCCTGCGTTTTTAAAAAGAAACAGCAGAAGGGTAAACAAACGCTGTAAAAGTGGTTCCCGACGGTGGGCGGGGGTCGGGGACTCAGCCAAGAGAACGCCCTGTTTCCTAGTTCTGACTTGGGGCCGGGGAAGACTTCTCAAAAACCCAAAAAGCAGCCTCCCACTGAAGAGAAAAAAACCTCAGATCCGCTTACAAAAATTGGCACGGCTCGGAAACAAAGGGGCCCGGCCAGCCCCAGCTGGGGAGGACCCTGAGGGGACTTGCCGCTCAGTGGCTTCAGGCCCCTGGCGGGCGGGGGGAGGGGGGCAGAGGAAGGGGCCTCAGGGGTCCGCCTGAGGCCGCCCGTCAGGCGGGGCAGCCAATCAGCACGAGGCGGGGAGAGCCTGGTATGTGAGTTAATGTCCTTAGAGAGGCTCCAGCGTAAGAGGAGACGCAGCCCAGCCGGAGGGACGCCCGCCCGGAGGCTCCCATCTGAACCCGCACTTGCGTTCCAGTTACAAAAGCATGTGTTCTAGCTCTGCCCCCGGAAAAGGCCCGAAGAGTGCGGTCTGCAGACACCCTCTCCCACGAGAAGGAGGCAGGAGAAGCGTGGCACACAGGCCTTGCGGACCTGATGGCCGCTGAAGCCAAACGCGCCGGCGTCGGTCTGGAGAGCTCGGGCGCCGGCCAGAAAGGCATCTCCTTGGCCAAAGAGGCAGCATTTTCAGCATCAAGAAGAATACGCTTTGTTTGAAATAAATCAAACACGTTAAGAATCCAAGTTCACAGTGAGTTAAAAAAATAAAGAAAAGACCTCATTTGTCACTACCAAGGACAGTAGAACACCAAGTCAGCATCCTGAAAATTGATAATTAAGTACTTAGCTATGCTTTTCCATGAGACCAAATACATGACAAGGGAAACGGTTTCAACTAAGAGACAAAGGAGCAACAGAGTCAGAAAACAACGGTTCTGTGCCCCACGAGACAGGGACACAGGTCGACACCGGTGGCGGCGCAAACTGTGCAGTGAAGGGGGGCGCTGGTCCGGGGGGGCCAGGGCCTCGGCTCCTGAACCCCTGCCCAGGCTGGCGGCCCAGCAGGGCCACCAGGCCACGCCCGCGGCAGGGGCGCTCCTCCAAGCCCCCCGCGGCCTCTCCCAGAGCCCCGCATCGGGGCCCGGTCCTCGCGGGATTTGAGGGGGAGACGAGAGAGCCCGGGTGGCACGGCCGGGCCGAGCGCCAGCGTGCGGCCCGCAAACGCCCGCTGCTCCGACAAAGGGAAGGCGGGAAAAGAAGGAAGGAGAGCAGAACGGATGGGGGGCTGTGACACTGAGGGGGACTTACCTGACACAGGGACCGCGTGCCATTTGTGGGCCCTGATTTACACCAACTAGGTTTAAAGAACTTTTTTTTTAAGCAGTTGCGGAAATGTGAACACAGATCGGATGTTAGATGATAGTAAGGGACTCGTGTTTATTTTGTTAAGTGCGATGATGATACTGTGCTGTGTCAAATGGTCTTTATTTTTTAGAGAGGTGCACTAAAATATTTTACTGGTAAAAAAATGAAAATGTCTCGGATTTCCTTTAAAATTCTCCAGAAAGAGGGAAGCAGGGGAGGAAGGAGAGGAGGACGCAGTGACGTGGGGCGCGGGGGGGGGGGGCGCCAACGTGGCAAGGCCGACAGCGGCTGAGGCCGGGGGAGCAGCGAGGGGGGCCCGCGAGCCCCCATGGGCCCCGCCCACTCCCTTGGCCTGTGCGCGGTCCCCGCACGAGGCGCCCAGTGTGGCTGCGCTGTGACCGGGGGTGCCGCCCTGAGAGAGGCCGGCACCGTGGGGCTGGGCCCCTCTTGACCTTGGGGACCGGGCAGTTGTGCGGGCGGCCAGTGTGAACGACCCTGGGCGGGTCTGCGGGAGATGTGCCCGGTCCTCCCACTGCGGCCGCTGGCCGCCACCAGGCACATGAGCGACACTGCCCAGCCCCTGCAGGCCGGCCCAGGTGAGGAGGGCCACTCACCTGACTCCAGGCGTGAGAAAGGACCTGGCTCTGCTGTGCCGGGCTGCCCGCCCGCTGCAAATGCTGCCTGGTGTGGTGCGTCCGTCAAAAGGCGCGGGAAGGGCTCTTTTTTGCCTCTGCCCGTGGCCTCGTTAATTAACACTAACCAGCTTGTGCTCGTCTCTGCCCAGTGTCAGCAAAAGGGAGCAGACCACGGACAGAAATGGGTGGCACGCCCTCTCCTGACGCCTGTGGGTGGGGGGGGCAAGCCTCGGCCGCACGCACCCCTCTGAGCACACCTCCTCCTCTTTCCAAAGAGGCTCCACCGCCCCTTGGCCCGCCCTCCCGGACGCCCCGGCAGCCGAGCCGACTGCAGGCGCCCCCTGTCGGCGGCCGCGGTCCTTACCCGTCCACCAGGCCCTGCTGCTTGATGATCCTGTGGGACTCCTCCCGGGAGATCCTGCCGTGGAACCAATGCTGGGTCCTGTGAATCACTGCGGGGGGACAGGGCGGTGGGTCCCGGCCCCTCGCAGAGGCCCCGGACGGCACAGCTGACCCCTCCCTGCGGCCACACCCTGCAGTGCCCTCCACTCAGAAGGGGGGGGGCTGTTCCATTCTCTGTACCCATGGAAAGACCGGCGGGCATACCTGTGCTGAGGGAGGAGGGGTGGAGGGGGCTTTGGCTACCTAGGACGTTCATCCGAGTGCTTCGCTTCTGCAAGAGAAACACCCACGTCAGCGGCAAACTGGCACGCGGGCGCGCCCCTCGGGCACCCGTACACACACCTGGGGGCACCCCGCCCGGCGGCCGGGGCGCAGGCCGCGGAGTGCCAGCCCGAGCTCCGTCTGCCCAAGGAGAACAAAGAGCTTTTCGGGGTGCAGTTGTTAAAAAGAAACCCCAGCGCGCTGGGGCTCTGCTCCCGCCCACAGCCCCAAGGTGGAGGCGGAGGCGGAGGCTCTCCTCCCCCGTGCGAAGGGCGATGGGGAGCCCGCGCGTCTCAGCAGCGCCGCTGGGCTCCCCGCCGCCCTCCCGCTGGCCCGAGGGCTGGTGCTCAGGGTGTGGAGCTGGGGGCACGCCTCCTCCTCCGCAGGCTCCGAGCCGAAGTCCGGGAGCACGTCTGAGCCGGAGCTGCGGGCTCAGGCCCTGGGCATTGTTTTCAAACTTGAGAAGCCCTCGGAAGCCGAGGGGCATTGTTCCTCCCGGAGAGGAGGCCCTCGAGCCTCGGAGAGAAGGCCCGTAGCCGGCTGTGGAGCTGCTGGGGGGCGCCACGTGGCGTGGTCCCGAGGGCCGCAGCGGGGGCAGCCCTGTGCCCGCGCCAGGACGCCCCTGCGCCTCCCCGGGGGGCCCGGGGGCCAGGAGGCGGCGGGGGCCGGGGGCTGGGAGCCCCGGCTTCCTGCGGGGAGCGCGCGCCGCCGCCTCCCCCCGGCACCTCGCCCCGTGCCAGCGCCCGCACAGCCGCGGTCCTGCAGCGGGGCAGCGGCGCCCGCCCCGCGTGGCCTCACCCTCCAGGCGTGCCCCTCCTCCAGGGCCGCGCTCTGGGCTTCGGCGGGGTTCTCGATCACTCTTCCTGTTTGCCCAGAGAAATCCATGGCCACGAGGGAGTTCTCAGAGACGCTGCGCTGCAAGGGAAGCCACAGGTCTGGAGAGTCAGGGAGCAGCGGAGGCTCGCAGGGCTCTGGCACGGGGACGGCCGGGCGGCGAGGGTGATGGGACGCCACCCCCCCGGCTCCGCCCACCGCCCTCCCCCGCCCCCGCCCCCACGCTCTGAGATTCCGGTGGAAAGTCAGGGACAAAAGGGCCCTTGAGCTAAAAATGGCTCTGGTTCCTCTTGAGAAGAGTAAGAAACAGACTCCAAGGCTGATGGCGAGGCTGCTGGTGCTGCAGGCCCGCCCCGCCCGGCACTCCCACGCCTCAGGGCAAGGGCACTGTCCCCAGAGCCTGTCTTCACAGCGACAGTCCCTCCCTCAGGCGAGCTAGTGCGGGGTGGCAGAAGTCCTAAAACACGGACCCCGAGGACCTGTGAGCTCGCCTCTGGGAGCGCAGCAGGTCCCGAGAACGGGGGCTCGCTGTGCCCTGCGCACCCTCACCGGCAGGCCCGCGCTCCCGGCAGCGAGGGCGCAGGGCCGGAAGGACGGCGGCGGCGGGGAGGGGCTCCTCAGTGGAGCCCGAGCTGCTGCCACGCGTCTGAGCCCTGAACAGTGCGTCTGCCCAGACAGCCTGGGGGCTGCGGGGACAGGCACGGGGTGGCAGAGGAGCTGTCCCCAGCTGTCCCTCTGCTGCGAGAACTGAGCCGGCCCTGGGGACGCAGGCGCTGTGGGGCGGACTGGCGTCTCTGGAATGCACAGGCGGGCTCAGAGCTCCTCCCGGCCGCGGCCGCTGGGCCCCTGGCTGCGGGCGGCGGAGGGCTCACTTACCACGGGTGTGGAGAAGGGGGACAGCGAGGCCTTCCTCTGCTGGGGGACCCGGTAGCTCTGGTAGAGGAGCATTCCGTACTGAGGGGGAGCCAGAGTCAGTGGCCGGCGCCGGGGAGCCCGAGCCCCGCGGAGCCAGCCGCCCTGCCCTGGTGCATTTTGTCTCTTTCCTTTTCCAAAACAGATTATACACATGCAGTCCAGAAAAATCACACAAGTATGCAGCACTTGGACGGCTGCCCAGCCACGTCGGCCCCGCGGTGGAGCTCCCCTCCCTCCCGCATCTTTACTTTCTCCTCCTCACGGGACGGAGGGGGCGCGGGCGGCCCTCGCTCCACGCTGCTCTGCTCTTGCCCCTTTAATTGCTAATCCGCCCCCGCTCCCGCAAGGGGACCCGGAGAGCTGACTCGTGCCTGGGACCGGACATCCTGTCTCTCCTTCAACCAGCCCCACCGGTGGACATTTCAACTTAAAACTGGCTTGTGAGGAAGCAGCCCCCGGGGGCCGCATCTGAGCGCAGCACTTGCGCATCCTCTTCCATCATGGAACAGTAAAACGGCAGTTTCAGTCCCTTTTTGGTATCAGTGGCCCAGAACCAGGTTCGGGGACAGAGAGGCTCAGGGACACGCGAGCGCGGAGCCCGTGGCGTGGGCGTCTCCGAGGAGAGGCGGCCCGGCCGCTGCCCACCCGCTTCTCTGAGCGTGTCCACCTGGAGCCTCGGGCCAGCGGAGCATCAGGAGGCCTGTGGGTTTAGTGACGGGGCTCCCGGACTCCGTGTGGGCCCCGTGACTCTGAACACCCTTTTCTCCAGAGCCCGTCAGCAACGCTCTTCGGGGCCGACTAACATGCAATGTGTGCGGACTTTACGGACGTAGGTGACCGCAGGCACACGGGGCACAGGGCACACGGGGCAGGCTTTGTGGAAGCGGGGTGTGGCCGGGCACCGCTGCCACGGGTGTGGCCACTCCCGCCGAGTCGCGAGGGCTCACGGGGCCGCGACTGGGGGACGGGCTGTCTAGGGCGTCGCCCCACACGAGGTCCCCCGCCATCAGCTTCACTGGCTGCCGCTGCCGGGAGATGCTGCCCCCCGGGGCCACCACACAGGCGGCACAACTCCTCGGGGGGCCCCCCGGGCGGCCAGGAGCTGACGGGCAGTCACGAAGCCCGTCCCCCCTCCTGTGGCTCTCTGCCGGCCCATCTCCTGGTCCTGCTGTGTCTGTGTCCAGCCCGCTCACGGGCACCTGGTCCTCGGGGGCCTTCCCCTCCCCGCGCCCCGGGCGCGCTCAGCCCTGTCTAGAGCGCCTTTGCGCGGCTCACCTGGTAGGGGCGCCGGGGCAGCGAATGGGAGAGACCAGGGACACGGCCGAGTGTCCCGCCAGGCACGGAGCCCACGCCGACCCCAGGCATCAACAGCAGCCAGGTCGGCAGCGGGCTCTGGCCTTCCCCCTGGGAAGCCTCCGTGAGGAGCTCCCAAGACCCCGCAGGAAAGACGGGGGCGCCCAGAACCCGCCCCGGGCGGAGCGGCCTGGTACCTTGAGCAGCCGGAAGGCCGTCATCCAGCAGGTGCGGCTCTGCTCGCCCTCCGCACACAGCAGCCGCAGCTCCTTCGGATCGTGCAGGACTTTGTTTGGCTGAAGGAGGTAGAGGCAGTGAGGGCCCGGAGCGAATCGGAAGCGTGCCCCGGCCCAGGCGGGGTGGCCGCGGGGTGGCCTGTGGGCCCGCTCCGGCCACGCGCTTCCCTCTGGGCTTCTGAGCGCCTCACGGGTGACATAGAGCGACAGACAGGGACTGTTCTCACTCGGACGAATGGATCCAGTGTGAAGCCACGTTGCTGGCTTTTTCTTTTAAAAGCCGCAACCAAGGGGGACCTACTGTTCGAACCCCAGAGTCTCCAGCGGGGTGCCAAGCGGACAGAGTGCTGGGCGTGAGCCCCCAGGTCGGCCGGGCCGGGCCGGGCCGGGGGTGCAGTACCTTAATGCAGAAGCCGAAGTCGGTGGGGGCGCTGTACTGCTTCCTGCCCGCGATCAGGGAGAAGACGCTGCAGTCCTCCAGGTCGGCCAGCAGCTGCAGGTGTCTGGGCTCCTGTGAAAGGCCACCGATTACTGGGGAGAACTCGCCCCGCACAGCCAGGGCGCGGTCTCCTGTCCTCCTCCCTGAAAGAGGACGGTCTCTGTGGGCCTCTCCCGCTGCCAGTGTGCTGGTCACAACCAAGTACCAGAAAAGTGTGACATTAAACCAAATGTGCTCTGCCCCTCCAGAACCCTCCCGATTTTCAGACATAAAACTGTGCAAGTGTGTCCGACACTCTGCCACATCAGAGCCCCGTAACCAAAGAGTCCAAGGACCACGGGGAGGAAGACTGAGCCCGGAGGTCCGAGTGAGCAGCGCAGACGCAGGAGTGGGCGCCACCCCGCTGCCCTGCGGGGTGGCTCCGGCTCCCGCCTGCCTGCTGTTTTCCGACGGCTCGTCCCATCCTCTCCCCGCCCCGGTTCCCTCTCCGACCAGCTCTGCTCCCACTCCAGGCCACAAAGGTCCCCGGCTCCAGCGGCCATGGGGCTGGGGAGGTGCCCGCTGCGCCCTGCGTCAGACGGAAGGGGTCCCCTGCGGAGGGAGGGGCCCTCCACCGCCCCGCACCTGCTGGTTCCCTGGAGCAGCAGGACGCAGGCCTGGCGCTCAGTGCTCTTGCCTGCAGTCCCCGGTGCCCCCCCTTCCTCCAGGCCAGAGCGGGGACCTCTGCCCTCGGGGGTAATGCACAGCCAAGGTCAGTGGGCATGGCTCCCACCGTGGGTGGCCCCGGGCAGGATGAGAGGAGTAGCTGAGACACCAGAAGACCCCAGCGAGGGAGGCTGGCCAGCCCAGCCGCGGCCTCCGTCTCCCCTTGTCCCACCCGGGGCGCCGGCACACGGCCTTTCTCTCCTTAAGGCGTCTCCGACGGCTCAGGGCAGGCAGCCTCGGGGCGGAGACCACCTCTCATCCTCAAGGCTGGCCGCCTGCGGCCCGGGGCCTAGGTCTGCGTTACCACCTGGTGTCGGAGCGAAACCGGCAGACGGGTGACCCCGCGTCCCTCCCTGACACCGAGATTGGCGTTCAGGGGCCCGGGAGCCCGTGTGGCGCCGCCCTGCCCACGTGGCGCCCTCCCAGCACGCACCTTGGAGGACCCCTTGGTGGAGCAGTAGAGGCCTGACCTCCGCAGACACAGGTACAGCTTCTTCCAGGACTTCCTGCCCATCTCCTTCACGTGCAGAAAGCCCTGGATCTCAGGGCAGCTGCTGGAGTTCAGGAAGTTCTGCGGAGGAGAGACGAGAGGGTCAGACGTGCCGACATACAGTGACCACAGCGGGCCAGTCCTCAGCGCCGCCGCATTGGGCGCGTTTTCTCAATCACTAAAACACTCCTTTCTTTGGCCAAACTGAGAATTTTCAAATGACGTGCTTTTCGGAAGTCGCACGAATCTGCCCTAACTGGGACTGGCAGGACGCGGCCGGTGCCTCTACAGGCCCCTGCATCCCAGAGAGGAGCAGAGCTGCGCCGCCTCGGGGCGGCGGCCGGCGCCGGACCCTGCCCGTCCTTCCGGTCTCCTGTAAAACGTCCCACTCCACCAGCGGGGCTCGGGCCGGGGGACGGGCTAGGACCAGCTGACCAGAAGTGCCTGCGGTCACCCTCGTGCACTCGGGCCTGCCGGTTGGCACACAACCTCTCCTGGGTGCCCGGTGGCAGCTCAGTGTTCCAGCTAGCTCCTCCCCAGGGAGGTGACCACGCTGAGGGGGGCGTGCTCCTCCCGCAGGCAAGACGGGGCCTCCCGGCCCTGCACGCCCGCAGCTCCCGCTGCACGCTGGGGGCGGGCCTTTGGGAGGGACCGTGGGGCCGAGCGTGGAGGCTCTTGTCTCTCGGGGCAGAGACACAGTGGGGGCCAACCAGCCAAGAGGGCGGCATGGCTGACCTTGGTGGGTCATAGGCTGTAGTGGCTTCTCCCACACTTGGTGGCTTCTGGGGTGTGGCTGCCTTAGTGAATGGTTTGTTCTGTCACTAACACACATTTATGAGGGGAGAACCCCCCCCAAAAAAACCAGAGTTATCTTCTGGAGGGCAGGCCCCGTGTTGTCCAGGCTTCCCCTGCCGGTGAGTGTTCCAGGAGCCCATCTGGATCAGTGGGCCAGCTGGCGTTGTTGTGAGAGGCTGCGCTCGGCTTCAGTACAGTTTTTAAGACTCTTTCAATGTGTTTGCCTGTTTCACGACGGGTGATTTACACGCGCATCTGCCCACACCACACTGAGTGGTCAGCAGTTTCTGACCAAAAATGGCATGACCTCCGTGCCCCACCCTCCCTAGTCACCTGGTCTACGCTCTGAGCGACTTTTTTTGTCCTGGATGAAAAAAGTCCGCAAAGGGAAACGTTTTGCCAGTGTGGAAGAAGTAAAACAAAAAACAGCGGAAGCACTAAAGGGCATCAAAATTGATGCGCCCACACGCTGTGTGGAGCAGTGGGAGAAAGGTCTCCACAGGCATCGCGCACCCCATGAGAGTGCCTCCAAGGTGAAGGGGCCTGACCACGCAGAAACGAATACTTTTTATAAATAAACTCCATTTCTCGGGCCCCGGGGCAGCAGCCCGTTCCCTCCTCCAGACCCGGCTGCCCTGGAAAGCAGGCGGCCGCAGCAAGTGCGCCAGGGTGAGGCCCGGCTTTCCAGGCAGGGACCTTATGCAGCAGCGGGGCGGCCGGGCCAAAGGTCCCCACCGGCGCTCTGAGACGGGCTCGGAGAAGCCGCAGCCCCGCCCGACCCCTGCCCGGAGGCCTCCACGTCAGAGCGAGCTCCTCCTGCCCATGGGGGCGCGCCTGCTCCGGAGGCGCCCGGCTCGCCAGGTGTTTCCCACGCACGCATGCATTTCTGGTTTCTCTGAACCCCCCAGCTGCTGCGGCCGACCCGGGAGCAAGAGTGCAACTGCTCGGAGTTTCTGCAAGGTTGCGTGGCGGCTCAGGGCGGACTTCTGTCCGGGCCCAGAGGCCCGTGGGTCCCGTACCTGCAGGAGCTGGGTCTGACCGCCGTTGGACTGCTGGCACCAGGTGACCATCTGCTCCGGGAAGAAATTCTACAGAGAAGGGAAAGCAGGCACGTGAGAGGTTGGCTTCCAGGTGCGAGAAGCATACTGACAGGCAAGCCAGGCCCGCAGACGCGCCGCAGCGACGGCCCCGTGCCCCGGGGTGAACAGACAGCCCAACCCTGGCCCGGGAGGCCGTGCTGCCCTGCGGGCGCAGACTGCGCACTGGGGCGCCTCCGGCGTGGACGTGCGCGCATGCCCCCCTGAGGTCGGGGGCCGCCCGGGCCGTGGCTGCGGGACACGTCACAGCACGAGACGAAGCACTCTCCAAACTCAGAGAGCAGCAGTCGCGTGCAAAGGCTGTCCTGGTGCGCCCCCCAAAACAGCAGCTTCCTCCTTTGCAATCAAAAGCAACGAAGCTCTCAGAGCCAGAGCCGGGCGGTGGGCGCAAATGCTGCACAGGGCCGAGGCTCCTGCGCTGACCGTCGCAAGACAAGCAACTCCCTTCCCAACCCCAAGACGGAAGAGCTGAGAAAAGTCCTGGTGCTGAGCCCCGCACCCCTGGGTGCTCATTTCTCTCCTCGTTCTTCCCCAAGGAAGCACAAGAGAATAGTGTTTGCTGCTGTTGGAGAGTATTATGAGCCCTTTGCTGAGCCGCTGACCCGTGTGTCCCGTCGAAGGAGCCCCCTCCCGTCCCCTTTCCCGCTGCAGCGCCGGGGGTGGCGCTGCGCCTCTGCCTGCGCGGGCCTGGGCTGGGGGTCGAGCGTGCGCGCTGAGGAGGAGCTCCGCCCGCCCGTGCCCCCGCCGCTGTGCTCACAGCCCGCTCCCGCTGCAGCGGTGCGCGGGCTCCACACCCGGACCCCAGGCGCCCAGACTCACGGTGGGGTTCTTGAAAAACTCGTATTTGGCGTAATTCTTCCTGAACAGAAACTTGCTCTCGCTGGCCATGGTGTTCTGCACCTGCACCACCACCTCGTGGTCTTCCAGGCACCTCTCTGCGGGGGGAGCGTTGCGTGTGAGCGGGGCGGAGGGCACGGCACAGCCCGACGCAGCTCCCCGCGCAGCGGCGCTGGCCCCGGGGCAGAGACAGCTGGGGCGCGAGCTGAACGGCAGTGCCCTCAGATGCCTGGCCCAGCCTGGGGGTCGGGGCGCACCGCAGACGGCGTCGGCTGCCCTCGGCCCGCCCGAGGAGGAGCCCTGAGGCCGCCAACGCCCCCGGCAGAGGCCGCGCCCTCAAACCGAGAGACGCCGGCTCCCTCGAAGCCTGCGGACAAGGACTGCGGGAAGCATGCGAGCCAGAGCCCAGAGCGGCGCTGAGCCAGGCGACACCGAGCCCGGGGGCCGAGGCGCGTGTCTGGCCTCAGGACACGCGGTGCCCGAACGCAGGGCGGGCAGTGCCGCGGGCACACTTGTCCCCGAGGTGGAAGCCCGTGCTCCACGCTGCCCGGCCCTGAGGGTCCTCGTCCAAGGGCTGCGCCGTCAGACCGGGAGGGAAACGCGCGTTACATGGCACACGCACTCACAGGGGCTCATGGCACACACGTGCTCACAGACACGGGCATGCACCTGTTCACACGTGCACGGGGCACACGGCGGCCTGGCCTCCACCCGCCCTGCGCCTCCAGGGCCCCGGCCTCCCAGCGGGTAGAGCCCGCCCAGCCCTGACTTCCTCCTCGGCTCCAAAAGCCTGTCTCCTCAGGGGGCCTCGGTCGAGTCCACAGAACAACTATGTCGCTTTCCATACGCTTTGTCTTCAGAACCACAGGAGGAAGCCTGCGAACTGTGGTTTCTGTCTCCTCTGAGCCACGGGGGAGAGGGAGCTGTGACTCGGAGGAAATCTGCACTTCACACATGTGCCTAGAACTCTGTAAGCACCGTCCTTTGCCCAATTTTTTAAGAATTTCCACAGAAATCTGAAAAGTGTCTTTACCTAAAATAAATCACGGGATGGGGGGGACCAAAAAACAAAACCTCCACACGTCGTGCGCTCACGCACACCCCCCCGCCCTCCGCCAACTCCGAAAGCTCACAAACCAGCGCAGACACCACCGCAGGGTCCTGAGACAAAGCTGCCACCGGGCGTGCTCTGCCCGCCAGGGGCCCGCCTGTGCCCTCCCGCCCACGGTCACCGGGGGCACGCCGGCCCTGGCGGGGGCGAGCTGCTCTCTGCAGGGATGCGCGGGCCCTACCAATGCCAGGCCCGCCCGGGGGAGGCGTGCGGCGAGCTCCTCACTCCCCGCGGCTCAGGCATGGGGAGCCCGGGGACACCGCCGCGCCCTCCGGCCGAGGGCCAGGTCCGGAGAGCGCCCGGGAGTGGGGGTGCCTCAGGAGAAGGAGGCGGCGGCTGGGGAGGGTGCCGGAGGCGCGCACCGCGCAGGCAGGGACCCCGGCGCCGTGCCTACCTAACCCCAGGTGCGGGTGGTGCTCCACCAGGGTCCAGCTGTTGTCATCCACGCAGTGACTTCTGTACACCAGCAGCTGGCACAGGTCCCTGGCGGTCATGTCCACGAGGATCTCCACCACTTTGCACGTCCCATCCTCACTGAAGACTTTAACATCCTGCAACACACGAGGGGGCACTCGCGGATGAGGAACGCTGGGGTTTGACGAAATAAACACCGAACCAAACCACCAGAAAAGGTGACGATCGTGACGCGCCAACACACGTACAACCGTCCCTGCCGCCGCTGGCGTGCCCAGGGCCCCCCGTCCCGGGCGGGCTGGGGCGGGACGCGGGCTCTCACCACGCCGGGGCTGTTCGGGCCGGGGCTGCGGCCAGGCCTGCGGGTGTGAAGTGGGAGCACGCGCCTCGAGGGCGGCCGGTGGCGGGGCTCGGCCTGTCACAGGGGAGCCCCCCAGAGCTCCTCACACCTCCTACGGCTGTACCCCCCACCCCAGGGCCCGGGGCACCTGGCCGCAGCCCCGCCACCCTTTCCTGCCCCGCCCCTGCTGTCTCCTGCCCACCACGGCTGGATGGCTTGGGAAGAGCCGGAGAAAGGTTAGTGTGAGCACACTCAAGCGTCAACTCCTAAAGGGAAGGGCAGAGTGGGAACACGGGCACACGCCTCTCTGGCTCCTGAGCTCTACGAAATGACAAGCCCGCTCCGCTTTCCAGGCACTGTCCAAAGACACCCCAGCGAGTGGCTCCCAGGAGCAGGGCGGCCGAGGAGAGACCGGAGGTGGGAGACGCACTCCCCACCCCCGCCACCCTCTGCCACCACACACCCCGGGGGCAGCCTCCGGGGAACACGAGGCGTGGAAAGGGTCTAACCGCCACAGCCTGGAAAAGCAGTCCAAGGAACAAGGCGGCCTTTTACGTCCACACTGCTTCTTGAAAGGGAGCTTGTCCCTGGCCTCTCCCGCCGCCCTGGTGGGCCAGGCCCCTCCCCGGCCCACCCGCCGATCCCGGCCGCGGGGCCCTGTGGGCAGGCTGTCTTGGGACAAGCAGGGGAGCCGCTCCAGGCCACGCTCAGTCCTCTAGGCGGTGAGTCAAGCCACCTGGGCCGACCAATCCGGTCCCTCCCTGGGCCTGACGCAAACCCCCCCCCCCCCCCCCGGCCCCAACCCCGCCGGCTGCCCACTTCGGGGAGCGCCCGCCCGCCGGCTGCCTGCTGAGGTGGAGGTGCCCACGGCAGGGCGCCCAGCAAGGCTCCTACGGAAACGCCCCGGGAGCCCCTGCTCAGGTCCCCGGCCCCGAGGGGCAAGCAGAGCGCTCCGGGCGCGGCCCCTGCCAGCTCTCCTAGAAACCTGTCCCCACGACTCCAGCCTCGGCGGCTGCCTGGGACCACCAGGGTCCCCACAGAAGGCTGCAGCTCTGGCGCCCTTGCCTCTTCGCCCCAAGTCTCCTGACCAGGAGCGCGCTGGGCTGACGCGTGTCTGCTGAGGCTGGTCTGGCAGGAGACGGCCTGTGCTGGGACCGAGCCTCTCTGTCCCCAGGCCTCCCAGAGCCCCGGGCCGGAGAGAAGGAGTTAAGGTCCACTCAGCCCCGAGTTCCCGGGGAGCGGGGCACTGCAGGCGGACGGGCCCCACGGCTGCCTGCCACCTCTCAGCGCCCCCCACCCCTGACCCCGAGAGACCCTGAGCCGGAGCAGCACCACAACCGGCTCTCTGCTCACATTCGCTTTTGAAAGTCCATCTTTCCCCCCAAATCCATGTTTATTCAACGCAAGTTACACTTTTACAAAATAAATTAGGTTTTCAAATACAGCTGATGCGACAGAGTCTATAAAAATAAAATTTAACTTAAGCAAAGAAAACATGTCTTTGGACTGTAGATAAAAACTTTCCCTACAATTGCATCAACATAAAAAAACAAATTTAAAAACTATAGGTAGATCCACACAGTTCCTTATAATCCCTGTCTTCTGTACCAGGGCAGGCTTTCAACGACAAAATCAGTGCGTTCCTAATTTTCCTCCTTTCCTGGGTTTCTGAGAGCGCCTGTTGGAAGGTCACCTTCCCTGGAAATGCCAATGACATGGAAGTGCCTCTGAGCCCATTCCTCATGTTTCCTGCCCCAGATTGACGGCAGCGCCTGTTGGGAAATCTCCCTCCCCGCCGCGGCCACGCTGCGCCTTCTTTCCACCCTCTCCCGCTCCAAGGCCACTCCCGAAAGACCGAGACGCGCTTTCTCAGGGGCCCCTCCCGGGGCAAGAAAGCGGGACCACAGGCCTGGCCACCGCGAGTGAAAAGCCCAGCAGAAGGCCAGAAAGCCACTGCACGCACCGGCGTGGGCACGAGTTTGGGGCCGCAGGTGACGGCATCCCTGACACAGACGTGGAGGACAGTGTGACAACAGCTGGCCACCAGCCACCATACCTTTTAAGTCAAAAGCGCTAGAGGAGCAGCTGTGCCCCGCCAACCAACCGGGCGGGGCTCATCAGGGAAGCAAGCTAGGGTTTGGTACCCCAGGCTCTGGCGCACCGGCCAGTGCCGGGGCTGCGGGGAGCAGGCGGCCACGCCCACGTCGGAGGCTTGGGTCCTGCGCGGGGCAGGGCGCAGAGGGGGCCCGCGCACGCGAGGCGGCTGCGCCGCAGCCGGTCTCTCCCCGGGCACAGGCTCCCCGGGTGGGCTCGGAAGTCCACAGCTCGAGGCACGGAGGCCACGGCAGCCTTGAGGACCCGCCCCGCACAGCCTGGGAGCCCGCTGAGGGCGCGCCCTAGAGCAGGCCGGGCCGTGGTCTGGTTTCCTCGCTAACCAGCTATGGGAACCTGGCTGAGCGACCCGACTTCTCTGTGCCTCCGTTTCCTTATCAGTACAGCAGGAATCTGTAAGTCACACTGGCCTCGTGGGGTCAGGCTCCCATGGGCTAGTGACAGTCGCCTGTGCCTGACCCTGGCGTGCGCTGGGAGGCACCTTGGGAGCGCAGATCTGGGAACGAGGCAGGGACACTGCGGGGGAGGTGGCCGGGACCGAGAGCCGCCCTGACTCCGAACTGGTGCGCATTTCTGACACCCCAAGCCCCCGGCCCGGCAGGTGCGGCTGGGCCCCTCAGAAGGGGCAGGAGCGAGTCTGCGGGAACAGCTGCCCGGGGCCCTCACGCCCTTCTCCCCCGTGCACAGGAAAGCAAACAGCTAATTGTCTTTGGAAGCGGGAGAGTGACGTTAAAGAGCGCACATTGTGTCTGCAGTGGGGGGACCTCTGCAGAGCGGGCGGGGGGACGAGCACTCGGCCAGCTCCCCGCCCCCGGCGGGCTTGGCTCTGCGCCTGGAGTGGAGCCCGGGGCCTCGGGCAACAGGGTGTCCGTCTCTCCAGGGTGCTGCTGTCACTTTTTAGACATTTCTCACGTGGAGGGAGAGGCAAAGCTTAAACACGAGGAAACCGAAAGGAGGGAGCTCCGTGACAATTAGGGCTGAAGGGCTCTCGCCTCCACGCCCCCCCCCCGGCATCCTGGGGAGCCCGGCCTTTGTCTCGGTGGACGCCGGCCTCACGCACCGACACACGGCGCCGGCCGGCCCGCAGGCTCCGAGTCTCGTGCTGGATCCGGGAGACGGCTTGGCTCTGGCCCAGGTCCCCTTGTGGGCATGGAACCGGGCACCCTCAGCTCCTCGCGCCTCAGCGCCTGGAGCAGCGTAGGGCAGCCCTGGACGGACAGCCGGCGGCGGCGGGGCAGGGCCAGGGCTGGGGAGAGGGGCCTGTGACCCGCCCCGCAGAGCCGAGCCAGCCGGAGGGAGGGTCTGAGGAGCTGGGGCCTCTCCGGCCAGCTTTCTCTTAGCCCTTCCCCCGGGTCCACGGCCCTCCTAGGTCCAATGCAAGTGCGCTTTTCGAGGGACGGTGTGAGCGGGACACGTGGTCACCGCGGGGCCTCGTGTCAAGGCTGGGGACAGAGCTCACAGGGAAGCCAGCCTCCGACCTGCCCGCCAGGAGGGGGCGCCAGGGAGGGTCACGCGGGAGAGGGGAGCCCGCGTGCCAGCCTGGAGGGGCGGGGCCGCGGGCGCGGGTGCTGGAGGGGGAAAGCAGCTGCTGGGGCAGGTGGAGGGGAGGGCCCCTCTGAGACTGCAGCTGTCACGGTCCCCTCCGGAGGAGAAAGGACACCTCGGGAGGCAGCACGGCTTACACAGGCCTGAGAGAGGGCCCCGCGGGGGCCGGACCCGAACCCAGGGCGCCGCTGCCGGCCCGCCCGCGGGGCCTCCCGCACCGGCCCCTTCCCCCAGCCGTCCGCTCCAGGGCCGAGCTCCAGTCTGGGCGGGCCCAGCCAGTTGGAGGAAATGAAATGCACATCAATCCAAGGCTGAGGCCGGGCTAGGCTGGGTTCCTTTTGGTGGAGAAAATGGAGTTGCGGTTTTCCCCCCGTTCTGCTCCACACGGAAGGCGCCACTTGGAGGCCTAGGGAAGGACCAGGGCTGCCACGTGGCTCCGGTCACAGCGGCCCCCGCCCCGCTTCACTACACCGACCGGCACGCACTCTAAAAAGTAAAAACCTGTCTGATGGTCTCGCCATTTCAAGGTTTCAGTGGGAATTAAAAATATGTTAAGTCGTTGCAAATCCTTTCTAAAAAAGTTAAAGTTCTAAAAATAACTTAGAAAATAGCTCTTGGAAGCCAGCCACAGCTTCAGAGTCCCTGGGCAGACCGCCCCGCAGAGCGGCTCCGGGCGCAGAGGGGCAGCCACCAGCCCCTCACACCACACGGGCTCGTGGGCAAGAGCCAGCGTCGCTCCGCGCCTCGCTGTTTTCTGAGCGCTTCTAGAATGGGTGCACATGGCCTGTTACTTTCACAAACGCGGTTTGTGTAATGACGCTCTGTAGACAGAGTAAGTGCCCCTGAGGGAGACCCTGTGCGGCCGGAGGAGGAGCAGGGTGCCCATCGGTCGGCGGGGCCCAGCGCAGGCGCACGGCCCTCAGCGGGGCCTGGCTGCCCCTGGCCTGGGTCCCGCCCCTGGACCCGCTCTGTGGCCCCTGGGCTTCTCCCTCCCTCCCGCAAGTCCTGGAAGGCGGGCCCACACCCGCTGCTCGCCCTGGGCCCTGCCCGCTCCCCTTCCTCCGCCCGCTCGGGAGGGGGCCCTGCCTGGGAAGAGCTGCTTGCACAGCCTGCGACGCTGGCCTTCCTTCCTGGTCAGGA